TCTTGTGGTGTTCATTTATCCATGATAAGCCTTATTGACTCCGATACAAATTCTTTGTTGTATTCGCTGACTACTCATGCCACCCAACTACCCCTACACCATGACATTCAGAAATTGTTGGATGATTACAAGGATGTGTTTGAAATACCTACTAAGTTACCACCTAGGAGACCTGACCATGATCACAAAATTCCTTTAACATAAGTAGTCAACCCTGTCAATAAGAGACCATACAAATATGCAAAATAGCAAAATGATATTATTGATGGTCTAATACAAGAATACCTTAAAACTGGAGTAATTCAACCTAGTAACAGTCCTTATGCAAGCCTTGTAGTTTTGGTAGGAAAAAAAGATGGATCTTGGAGACTTTGTATGGATTATAGAGACTTAAACAAAGGCACTGTTAAGAACAAATTCCCAATTCCGTTGGTGAAGGATTTGATGGATGAATGGCATAGATCAACTATATTTTTTAAGATTGATCTCAGATCTGACTATAACCAAGTACGAATAAATGAGGCTGACATCCACAAGACAACATTCAAGACTCACGGAGGCCAGTATGAATATTTGGTTATGCCCTTTGGGCTTACAAATGCACCTGCAACATTCCAGGGCTTAATGAACTCAGTTTTTCAAGCCTTTCTAAGAGAGTTTTTACTAGTATTTTTTTATGACATCCTAATATACAGTAAGACTCTCCCTAATCATATCAGTCATCTTCAGCAAGTTTTGGAGACAATGAAGAACCACAACTTATTTGTCAAACAATCTAAGTGTTACTTTAGTGTGGATAAAGTAGAGTATTTAGGTCATTTCCTTTCTAAAGATGATATTGCTACAGATCCTGCAAAGGTTGAAGCTGTGCAACAATGGCCTCTCCCTCAAACCTTGAAGCAACTTAGAAGTTTTTTGGGCCTAATTGGTTACTATAAAAGATTTGTTTATAGGTACGGTACTATTGCTAGGCCATTGACAGAAATGTTGAAGAAGGATAATTTCTCTTGGACTCCTCAGGCAAAGGAAGCATTTCAACAACTTAAATAACAACTGGTTCATGCACCAATTTTAGACATGCCTGATTTTTCTCAACAATTTGTAGTTGAGGTGGATCCATCTAGACAAAGATTAGGTGTTGTTTTGATGCAGAATTAACATCCAATTGCTTATATCAGTAGATGCTTAAACAAGCAACAACAGTCTCTATCCACGTATGAGAAGGAGCTCTTGACTGTCGTGTTTGTAGTCCAAAAATGGAGACATTATTTGCTCAACAGAAAATTCCTCATAAAGACTAATGTCTAAAGTATATATTGGACCAAAGATTAAGTACTACATTTCAGCAAAGATGGTTAATAAAACTTATGGAGTTTGACTTTGATATTGAATATAGACAAGGTAAGGAGAATGTTGCAGTGGATGCTTTGTCCAGAAGGGAGTCAATGGAGTGCAATGCTATATTGAGCATGGAACCTGATTCAGACATGTTCGCCAGAGTTAAGCAATCTTGGTCTGATGATTTAATCCTACAGAAGATCATTTCAGACATCACATTAAATCCTGCTTCACACAAGCATTACTTATGGGAGAAAGATGAGTTAAGAAGAAAACACAGGTTGGTGGTAGGTAATGATGGCGAGTTACGACAAGAAATACTTGTTTGGGTGCATGGTTCTGTTACTGGAGGTCATTCAGGGAGAGATGTTACACTGCAGAGATTGAAACTTGTGGTTTATTGGAAAGGGATGTCTAAGGATGTCAAAGGATTTGTTGCTCAGTGTGTCACTTGTCAAACTAACAAGTATGAGATTGCTACATCTCCTAGTTTATTACAGCCGCTACCAATTCCGAGACAAGTTTGACAACATCTAACTATGAATTTCATCGAAGGTCTTCCTAACTCATTTGGCAAGCAAATTATTTTTGTGGTGGTTGATAGATTGAGTAAGGCAGCACGTTTTATGGCCTTGTCACACCCCTTTTCAGCAGTTGATGTAGCTCAATGTTTCTTAAACAATGTCTGCAAACTCCATGGATTTCTTGCTTCAATTACAAGTGATAGAGATCCAATTTTTACCAGCCAATTCTGGAATGACTTTCTCTTCTTGCAGGGCATACAACAACAGATGTCCACAACTTATCACCCTTAGATTGATGGACAGACTGAGGTTGTTAATAGGTGTCTTGAAACTTATTTGAGATGTATGTGCACAGGTTCTGTTTCTAGTTGGTCCAAATGGCTTTCACTGGCTGAATGGTGGTACAATTCTTCTTACCACAACACCATTAAAGCTAGTCCTTATGAAATTGTGTATGGTCAGTCACCTCCTCTCCATTTATCTTATCTTCCTGGAGAATCCAAAGCAGCTCTGGTGGATAGAAGTTTGCAGAAGAGAGATGGGATGCTTAAATTGATCAAGTTCCACATGCAGTGAGCACAACATCGTATGAAGCAGCTTGTTAATAAACACATATCTGACAGAGAATTTCATATTAGAGATTTGGTGCTAGTAAAATTACACTCTTACACGCGATATTTGTGGCTTTCAGAAACAATGCCAAACTTTCTCCCAAGTATTTCAAACCTTTAAGGTGGTAGACAAAGTGGGTACGGTAGCTTATCAGCTAAGACTTCCTCCAGGTTCTCAAATTCTCAACTCAGGAAATTTGTTTGGAACTCTTCTATTTCTTAGATTCTCTTCAAACTATCACTGATCCAGTCCTGAAAGAACTTGAGTACATATTGGATCATATGATTGTTAAGAGAGGTAATAAGACTGTTACTAAGATTCTTGTTAAATGTAAGCATCAATTGGAAGAGGATGCCACATGGAAGTTTTATTTTGATCTGAAGAAGAAGTTTTCAAGTTTCTAATCCTTGAGGACAAAGATTTGTTTAAACAGGGGATTGAAAAGGGAAGGAAAAGAAATAGGAACTGGACATGTGGCAGTACTAGCAGCTTACAGAATCGGTTATATTTCTGTTTTGAAAAAGGGGATTGATTAGTTAATTAGAGATATTGTAAATAGCTATTAGACGTTTAAATAAAACAAATTCTTCTTTGTAACTCATTATTTTCTCGAGAATAATAAAATTGGATTAAAATTCCTTCTTTTCTTATGAATTCTCTTCGTTGATGTTTTTCGATTACTTCTCTTTCTTAGTTCATTCTTATCAAGTGATACCATTGGATTAAAATTCCTTCTTTTCTTATGAATTTTCTTCGTTGATGTTTTTCGATTGCTTGTCTTTCCTAATTCATTCTTATCAAGTGATATCAGAGTCAGACCTTCCTTCAAGAATTTATGACAGAGAATACCAGATGGTGATTCGTGAGGTTGAAGATCGTCTCACTACAAAAATAAAGGCTCGATCTAAGCAGATGGATGGAAGGTTCGTGGAGTTAGTGACGAGTCTCAACAACTCTTTTTACATAATGTTCTAGCAATACTGTTTAGGATATTCTTAAAGGTCACAAATCTTCTTTTTACTCTAGTACTTTTTTCACCTTAAAATATTCGCCATTAGTAATGTACAATTATCACTTATTTACAAAATTTAAATTATAACAATCAAATAAAATCTGGTAACATGTTGGACATCACTTGCATGAATGTTCTCTGGATATATAAACTATAGTGAGATGAGAATACAGTTATGAATCACCTTGCCACCTAGGGTCATATTTTGGGACTAAAACTGTCCAAACAATCGGGATTATATAGTTTGACAACCGAATCTAGTGGTTAAATTATAATAACTCAGCATCTAGTGAACTTAATGACAGAAAATCAGAAGAATTTGATCAGGAAAAGTCGATGTTCAGAGTATGTGTGCCAGTGGCAGAAAGGAATATATGCTGCCGGCATTTCTTATAAAGTAAAGCAGCATGTGGTGATCAAGTAGAATCAAATGTGTACCTCGTTATTATCTGTCCAATGCTTGAAATCTAGCACAAGCCAGCTAATTAAAGTGCAACTAAGCAACGTCATTTTCATAAAAAACAACGTCATCTTTAATGATACAAGGAAAAAATAAAAACAATAATAAGATGTTATATATATCATGTCACTTCTAATATATATACATGGTATAAAATAATTTTAAATTAATATAATTTTTTGAAGACATAATAATTGAAGTGAAAAGAAAATTTATTAATAACTCTTCAAATTAAATTATTGAATTAAAGATATTTTAATACTATAACAGTTGTAGGAATTATTGGTATAACAATTTATTTGCTCTTCTTCTGTATAGCAGTAACATACTCTTATTCAATTCACAAATTTTTATATAATAAATCTATTGATTTTTAACAACGTTAAAAGTTATTACAAAAATCATTTTTGGTGATAGCATACAAATAATTCACGCGTTATTACAAAAAAGTATTTTAAATGTCATTTTAAAATATTTTATTGGGTTAATAAAGTTTTTATTTCCTATAATTTATAAATAATTTTATTAAAAAAATTAACAAATAAGCATGTGCCATGTCAGCAATACCACATCGTCGTAAAAATAGAGAAACTTTTTTTACAGGAACGAAAATAAAAAATTCCATAAAAAAAATAAAATGACATTTTTCTCGACACAAAAAATAATTAAGTATTAAATATAAAACATAAGTTTAATTAAAAATTAATGTAAAAAGAAAAATATAAAATTTAATAATCTAGCATTGTATCAATATTTTTCTGATTTTATTTAAAACATAAATCAATTTATTTTACACTGTATATGTCTGGGTTATCCGGAATCATAATAACTGAAACTGGAGAGAAGTATTTAGCCTGACTTCAGTCTATTTAGGAGTGATTCGTTCTGCCATCATCAAGAAGAACGAGGTACAAGTTAACGCTTCTCAACCTCACCTCCATTGTTTCTCGCTTCAGATCTCTCTTACTCTTTCACTCTCACATACATCGACAATGTCGTCTGAATTACTGCATCTTTTCTTACTTCGCCTCTCTGCAGCTTCATTTTCTGCAAAATGGATCCTTCGCCATTGCTGTTTAGCCATCTCAAGGTTCCTATTTTCTCGCTGATAATGAGTCTCTAGAATTTGAAATTTTCTGGGTCATGGGTATTTTTTTTTTCTTATTTGTTAAATATTTTTTATGGGTTGTGTTTCTTTGAATCTCACAGGGTGCAGACCCGTTCTTCCTGCTAGCGGGACCTAATGTGATTGAATCAGAGGAGCACATTCTGCGGATGGCTAAGCACATCAAGAGCATTTCATCTGAGTATGTAGTAATCTTTATTTATGTTTAATGTCTTTTTATCGATCGGAAAATAAATGCCATTTGATGGAAATCCATTAGGGAACTTCTACCGTAGCGCTATGCATTGTCAAACATTTATTAGGTGTTGATTTTAAAATAATATAGATTTTTGACAACTCATCTTAGGTGATTCATATTCATGGGAACAAAATGGATACAAGAGTAATACTCATTGGTTTGAAGCTAACTTCTATTTTGTCTTCAGTATGAAGTTAAATATATATTTTTTCCTTCTTAATATTTAAGTAAGACAGATTATTAGACTAACACTACCTTAGATTTACTTAGATTGCGGATGATCCCTTGTTTTTCTAATGTTTACAGCAATCCCCTTTTCGGGATACACACTGTAATCTGTTTTTGGGTATCAGAGGTAGACAATTAGAGTACCAGTGTAAGATAAACAAGGGAGGATATTGGATGGAATTGAACGAAATCTCAAGGGGGTATAAGTAGGATTTACTCTTAAAGTAAAGGTTTAAATTTTGATTCACTGTCTATGTGGAAGTTGTTTTGCACCTATCACCGTTCAGGAAGTATGGGTATGACTACGGTAACTAATTGAAAAGTCAAACTCTTATAGTAAAATGACAAACACATGGTTTCCTGATGGTGCAGAAACTTACATGTAAATTATAATTAAAATGGTTAGTAGATGTGATATTAATTGTTGTTGTCTAACAATTGTACACATGTGTCTTTCAGGGTTGGAATACCTTTGGTTTTCAAGTCAAGCTTTGACAAAGCTAACCGAACATCATCAAAATCATTTCGTGGCCCAGGGATGGTTGAGGGATTGAAGGTTCATATTTCTGCTACTCTGTTATGATATATCCCTTATGGTTGGTATCTTGAGGATTCTAGGAGTTGTAACTGTCCAATAACATGGGACCGTATTAGTTCTGTGTAAATTTTTCATGACTTCAGTTAGGCATGCGTAATATAAAATTGTCTTAAGCAAGCTTGAGAGCGGGAGGGGTGTTAGTTTCCAAATCATAATAAGTGGTACTTTGTCCATATATCTTGCTAATGTGAGATTTTAACATGATCCTTTATATTTTTTCTGTTCCACCTATCCCTAGAGATTCTGGAGTTAGATATTGTCAGAGTTGGAGGTAGCATCTGTACACTTTATTGCAGGGCCTTGAGAAATATCATCTATCTAGGTTCCTTGTAAGGACTTCCAAGGTTCTGAATTAGTAGTGCTTACCACTTGCAGTGCCAAAAGAAAAAGGTACTATACTGGTACTAGTCAAATTTGAAGTCATCTTGATAGTATGTGGGAATTATCCAGAAGTCTTTACTTAGGAGGGAATTATTAATGATCTATATAGCCATTGACACAAGCATTGGGACTGTAATATACGTTTAGTGTGTTTGTTTAAAATGTGAGTTGCTTTATCTAAATCACTGAATTTGTGCTGGATAAAGCTAATTTTATCTAAGTAGAATATTTTCCTTTTCATTTTTACTGTTTTTCTTTTTTTCAGATACTCGAGAAGGTTAAAATAGCTTATGACATCCCTATAGTGACAGATGTGCATGAGACCATCCAGGTAAAGTGTTTAGTTTTATGGAATTCCTATTTCATGGCCTTCTTGCCGGGGTTGAGGATCATATACAGTACTAACATTATTTGGCAAACCAATCAGACTGGTTTGGTTATATAATTGTTATTTCAAAAGGATATCATTATATGTTTGCTAGTGCTGAAATAAGAAAATAGCACAAAGATTTCTTAAGTGACGCTGTGCTAGATGGAATGTTAGCATTACGATATAGTTGATACCTGGATTAAATTATTATATTTTCTTTCCACTCATGTAATCAGTTTATGTAGAAAGAGTAACTTGAGAAACATTTTGCTTGGATCATTCATCGGTACAAAACTATATCTTGTAAATCCAAGCTTGGCTCTCTTATTATCACTTGTATTTTCCTTAACAATTTTTGTACCAATCTAAATTTGAAATGGTTAGCACATTTATTATCAATAATTTGTAATATTGTCATATTGAATAATTAAATTGATTTTTTCAATGTATACTTGTGAATGTTGTTTGGTATTGGGTATTTTAGATTCTGACTCATGATCTCTCCATTGGACATATTTATCTTTTTTGCCAGTGTGAAGCAGTTGCCAGAGTTGCAGATATCATTCAGATTCCAGCATTCTTGTGTCGCCAAGTAAATATTATTGCATCATTCAATTTCAATATCCATTATAATAGGTGGCAAATTTTAGTAGATGCGTCAACTTCACTGTTTCATTCATTTTGCTTCTAATGACAGACAGATCTTCTAGTTGCGGCAGCCAAAACTGGGAAAATTGTCAACATTAAGAAGGGCCAGTTCTGTGCTCCTTCTGTTAGTATACTATCCAACTTTATGAGTTACAATTTCAATAGTTAGCAACAACTACTATCCAACTTATGAGTTACAATTTCAATAGTTAGCAACAACTTAAATTAAGCCTTGGAATTAGTGTCTCCTGATTTTTATTATTATTTTTTAATTGTCTTCATGGCTATAGGTCATGGCAAATTCAGCTGAAAAGGTTCGGTTAGCTGGAAATCCTAATGTCATGGTTTGTGAGAGAGGAACAATGTTTGGATACAGTGAGTTAATAGCACATATTCTGAGGTTTTCTGTATGTTTCTGAAGGATGTGAATCTTGCAAGAACCATTCAATAATTGATATCAGTAATGGCTTTTATGTGGCGTAAAATATTGTTTTTCCTTTCACTTGTAATGCTTCATTCTAGAGCATTTTGTCGTCCTGCAAGATGTGATTGCACTAAGAAAATCCTATCAAGTGATGCTAGTTATTGCTATATATCCCCACCTATTGTAATTTCATAGCCTTGTGTTCTTTTCTCTAGTCGAACTTAAAATTAAAATCTCAATTGTGTTTTATTAATCTGCTAACCATCTTCTTGGCCTCTCATTTTAATCAAAACTTTTAATGTGTATCTGAGGTATAATATTGCCTTAAAAAAACAAGCATTTAAATCAGTTTCCCTTTGTGGTTTTCTTTTCAAAACCCTGAATTGATTAAAACCCTTTTTCATACAGATGATTTGATTGTTGATCCACGTAACTTGGAGTGGATGAGAGAAGCCAATTGTCCCATTGTAAGTAAATCTTCCTTTATAATATGTTTTACGATAAACTATTTAAATTTTGATATCCTTTCTTATTGAATGAAAGGATAAAGTGGAGAAGGTAGCTTTTCTTGATGGCATTGTCCTAGTCATTTATTTGATGAAAATGTTTTAGTCAATTAAATGACTAATCCCAGTGAACACAATCAACCTGATGCACACCTTTTAATATGGAAAAAATTGCTTCAATTGCTTACCCTATGGGCATTTTCTCTCATGCTCACATCTCTCCCTTCTCTGTGGCTTACTGACATAGGATAAGGTTGACTCCGTAGTCCCTGAATACATTGTTCTTGGGCTGGATATATTACCCGAGTTTTAATATGCAGATGACTTTCATCAATAATCTTTGGTAATATCTGTAAAAAACTAGTAGAGTATTTTATTTTAAATATAAAATGCAAAGAATCGACTCTTGTTGGTTTGGAGGACCTAATTCATTCTTTGTTGATCTTTTAGTCAAAGGGTATATTAACATTTCATTTTTTTTACAATCTCTAATTAATATAGTAGTTATTTACTCAATTGATGAATTAAAAAAGAAGTAAACCCGAGTGCATGCATTTATTTAACAATTGATAAGAGTGAGATTGAACTTAATTCTTTACTATTACTTTATTATAAAAAACTATTCTTTTAATCTTTTTTTTTTTTTTTGTCGATATAAAATTTCTCATGCTGAAGTTTCTAAGCACTATCTCTGATGCTGTTATTTTTCTGGAAAACCCAAATATTTGAAATTGGCTTTTGCCTCAGGTGGCTGATATAACACATTCACTACAACAGCCTGCTGGAAGGAAGGTATGTCTACTGTTGTTTATTCCATATATTATTTGGTATTAACTGTATTTTGAACTTTATTATTTCATGTAACACTATTTTAGCCTGCAACGTTTTAAGCAACATAACACAGTGGAATATATTTGCATGGGGCATGTCATAGTACGTGAATACATCATAGGCCAAAATGCCACTCAATTAATTTTGCTGGGAGAATTACGGATCACAGTTTCAGACTTTCAATGCCAAATGTTCATGCATTACTTCTATGCTTTGCTGATTTGTGAGGAACTGAGGATCATTTAGAATCTTTGACTATTGATATTTTCACTGTGTTTGTTGTGTAAACCTCTATGCTATGCTCCATTAAAATCTTTTTAAGTATACTGACGTCTCACAGAATCTATAATTATGATATTACTTTTGAACCCAACTATAAGATCTGACTTCTGTACTTCAAGCTTTTGAATGACTTACTGAAATGACCTTTCCAAATCTTACACCTGTTTGGTTAGATTAAAATTTTGGTTTCATCTATAGTTGGATGGGGGAGGTGTAGCAAGTGGAGGTCTTCGAGAACTAATACCTTGCATTGCAAGGACAGCAGTTGCCGTTGGAGTGGATGGGATCTTCATGGAGGTACAGAGAATAGCCTATGCCAGTTATAATTTACTAGTACTATTATAAAAGAGGGTATTTTAGAGTAAAATTGCAGCTATATAATCATCACTTGCTATTCCAAGATCTGCTATTCAAATAGTATCTTTATCTATTTAGTTTTTCCATCACTGAGCTTCTAAAAGCTTTCTGGGGTTTTCAGGTGCATGATGATCCACTGAATGCTCCTGTTGATGGACCAACACAGTGGGTGAGTTGTTGCTATCACAGTTATTCAGAGTTACATACATAATTTCCTCAACATTTGATTTTCCTTTGGATGTTCCCTATAAATTTTTGTTTCAAATAGGGCATGTAATAAATTATGTACTAAATACTCTTTTTTGACAGCCTTTGCGCCATTTGAAGGAACTACTTGAAGAGCTTGTAGCTATTGCTGTAAGTTGTTACTTGAAATTTATGATTCTAACTTGCATGATATTATCTCTAAATAGGGTAATGGAACGAGTCTTCATGCCTCTAGGGCCTAGGAAATATCTTTTTGTAAAAATAAACTCTTGTTTTTTATTCAAAATCTTGACAACAAAGATATAACAAATACTCTTTTAGGATAAATTTCCAACACATACTATTCTGTTCTTTGTGATTGGGAGGCTGGTTGATGAGACTGTTGTGTCAAGAAGGTTAGGGTTTTGGCTTATGTGGACAATGATGGTGATGACTATAAGAGAAAGAGAGAGCAGGGTTGATATTGAATCTGTTTTCTATGATTCAGTTAGATAAACTTTTTCGACATGCTCAATTTGTCACTCTTGAGTGAACCTTAAGATAGTGGTGGAGATCAGAAGATGGTTACAAATAATTAAAAGGATTGACTTCTCAGTTGTACAAAAATATAAATAAACTTTGTTAAGGTTTCAATATAAAATCAATTGACAATATGTAGTGTATTCTAACAGGTATTTAAACCATACTGCATGACATGAGACAGACGATGTGAGACTTCTAACAAAATTAATGTGGTTGGTCCTTATTCCATACTAGAGAGCAAGTTAAGTTTGAGCACAAATTCCTTGAGTTCAATTTCTACCAAGAGAAATAAAACTTACCAGCAAATTCAACTTTCTCATGAAAAAGGATTTAATCTCTGAAACTGCTATGCAAATGTGTAATAATAACGAAGTTGAGAGTAGAAAAAGGGCATGATATTTATATTGGTTCACCGACAAGTATTCCTTTAGGCGATATTTCCACTATAGCAAGTATTCCTTTACACGTTTGTAAGCCTCTTTCCGGTCTTCAAGAAAGTATTCCTTGACTCTGCAGCCTCTTTAGGCTTGCACTATTGTTCTCTCAGTCGCTAGCAACTTGCTAGTGTACTAACTAAAGTGGTAGAGGCAGAATAAAGTAGATTTCAGCTGACAAACACTCAAGGATGAAATAAATACAATAAATTGAGTTTGCTTGTTTGGTAGCTCACGAAACCACTCTACTATCGGATAAACAGGAGAGGGTAAGCTCTGCTACACTCTTAATAACCTGTAGAAGAGAATGGTGGCCACAAGAGAAGATATGATCCGAAGGTGCATGATGTCTTGAAGAAGCACTATTATTGTTCTTCGGGTTATTCACACTAAAAGTTAGAGTGGTTTGACCTTTTTAAAGCACGGGAGACTAATGGGATTTGATTTTGGTCTGATGTGTAGCTTTTTGGCACACCATTTTCAGCATTCCTAGAGGAACTAGCCATTGGACCTGTTGTTTTATCCTATATATAAAAGAATGTTCCCATTCCAATCCCTCAAAATAAGGTGGATTTTTCAAGGATTTCTTTCGACAGTGATTTCTTCAAGTTGATTACTTATCCTCACAATGACTCTTCAGCATTTCAATATGCTCTTTCAGAATATATATCTGTTGCAATATGATTTGATAAAAAGAATGAAAAGTTGGACAACATGAATATTTGTTTCATGTTTTCATTTTAAAAATTATCACGGGACAAAAACAAAAGATTAAGTCAGAATATTTTTATGAAGCACGTTCACTAAATCATATTCAGTTTTTGTTTTTTATACTGGGTATCATATAAATATTTGTATATATTCAGGGTTAGTATGAGATTGTTAGAGTGACCATACATTTACTTTTCCGCCAAAAATTAAAAACAGTGTCTTACTTTGGAGTTATTAACCTATATTCGACTAACTCTAATTTGATATCTTGTAGAAGGTAAGCAAAGGGAAGCAACGGTTCAACATTGATCTCACGCCATTACGTGAATAATGGTGAGGACTATATATTCATTTATGTTTTTGTTTCTCCAGCTAGTTAAGCTTCCTTTTCCTTGTTGATTGTTGACTAAAATTATAGCCAGCATAATGTAAAGAAGTATGTGATGTTACATCTTATTGTGAAAGCATGTTCTTAAAACCATTTTGAGAGGGTCTAAAGGCAAAGATTTACGTACTCCATGAAATATCCATTGAAGAACGTGTACTTCATATATATCCATTGATAAAGACAAAATCAAAACTGATCCAGAAAGTCAATCAGCTTTATAAGTTATCCTTGAATCTCAATTAACATTGACCAAGCTAAATTGTTAGAAAACATAATGTAAGCATCATAAAGAGAGTTAAATAACCATAAACTTTTCTGACGCAAAATACGACCAGGAATGCAACAAACTAATGATAAATTTAGAACTAATTACCCATTGTGATTTGAGTGAAATCAGAAGTGCTTTAACTATTTTAAAGTATAAATGCATACACATATTCTAATCTGAACTTTGTTTGCAGGTGATGGTTTTCAGTTATCTTGAGTATGTATCTGTGAGTATTGATCTTTTAAGATTGTTCAACGTTGAATACAAAACTGTCTTCTCTCACAAGTGCTTTATAAGAACATGTAGTTTATCTTATAAATATTATTTGATGATCCATGCTTGTTACTCTGAAGTGGAAACACTACCATCTATCTAATGTTGGTCAAATATCATGTGTGGCCTTAATCATGTTAGTTGTTAAAAGTTGAGTCACCTTATATAATTTATGAACTAAGTTTATTATTAGGAAAGGATAATTTATCATTTCTTTCATTTCTCCCAAGTCCGTTTTAGAACATTTCAAGCCATTACTAAATATCTGGCAGTAAATCAGGCTCTAGTGTACAAAATTTTAACCATTTAGCTTATGGATATTGTTTACTATTCGGGAGATATTACAGAAAAACGAGTAAATAATCTATAAGTCTTACTTTGTCAACCAATAAGAAATGATAAAATATGATAAGTTTGAAGTTTTTTATTATAAAATATTTCAAATGTTATATTTTATGTGATTTTTTATTAAATGATAAAGTAAAATGTTTTTCATTCATAATGCATAAAATTAAATCAATGGACAGGTTCAGTACGAGGTTATTCGTGGAAATATAATGAAAATTATATAAAAACAATTGAGAATACACGGAGAAGTGATATCTGTGTTTAAATCATATGAAATGATGAGATTAAATTATATGAAATAATATGAGATAAGTGATGTGAAATTTTTAATATGTTGTCGGATTAGATAAATGATATTTTTTAATTCTTTTATGTTAAAGTTTTATCATAAGTAATACTTGAAATAATTTAATATATATTTAAATTATACTAAATAATATAAATAACTTTTAATAAAAAATTAATTATTGTAAGAAAAATAATTTTGAGATATGATTGCAAAAAAATTGAATAATGTTTTCTTTGGTGGGATGAAGTATTTGAATAAGTAAAAAAAAAAATGTTGGTAACATGACTTTCTCCGTACTTTAAACATAAGGAAAGTTATCATATCAATCAGTCACAAACACAAACATCACACTCCTGTTATAGATTGGGATTAAATTTATGGTCCTACAAAAACTGGAACACAAAATAAAAATCAAACTAATTAGTAATGTTAGTAATATTGTCAAAAAAATAAGACAAGTGTGTTTTGTATTAGATTAATTAAACTCTAAATTGAACCTAAATACCTTCATTTATGTAAATCAATAAAAAGGAAAGATTCATAAAGAATGGAATGCATTGGATGAAGTCTAAAGATGAGGATGTTTAGTCTTATTTGTTCATCTTCTCTTTTTCTTTCTTAGGTCAAAAGTAAGCACATTAGTGTACTTAATCTAACTACTCTTATTCATTTATTTTTTAATTACTTATGTTGATTTTTTTTTATTTCTTTATATTTTTACACCGTTGTGACTGGTATTATAATATTTTTCATATCTTTTTACACCGTTGTGACTGGTATTATAATATTTTTCATATCTTTTTACACCGTTGTGACTGGTATTATAATATTTTTCATATCTTTTTACTTGTCTTATATTATATTTGAACCTAATTCATTTCTTATTATAGTATTTTTATATATTTTAACTTAATTTATCTTATATTCGAATATTTTTCTTTCAAGATAACTGATATATCCCATGTTATAATATCTTCCGTATATTTTATATATATATATATATATATATATATATATATATATATATATATATTATTTCTTATTTTAATATCTTTATTTCTTCATATCTCACTATCTTTTTTTTTAATAAAACTTAATATTTTGTTTCTATCTTTTTAATTGAACATTACAAGTAATAATCAAATTGAAAAAAAAAACAATTTTATTGTGTTTAACTAATTTTCATGTTTTAGTTTTGGGGTTTGGTTATAATGGTTGTTTGGTGGTATAGACACAATACTTATTCAGAATACTTAATAATTTTTTTTATATTTAACCACAAAATATAAAATAAAATATAATTTAATAAGTTATATTAAAAAAAATACTCTATACGTATAAAAATAATTACACGTGATTTTGGATTAATTCTTTGAAAATAAAATGTTTTATTTTTTATTTTATTTTTTTCAACTTGAACTTTTTTAAACAAAACTTTTAATCTTTTATCTTTTTAGTTTATCTTTTATTTTTATTTTTGAATTGATTTTTTTTAATTATCAATAATTTAAAGAAATTTTATATCAAAATATAAATGATGTATCGTAAATCTAAAAAATAATATATAGGCTGAAATATGTACTTATTATAAAATTTAATTATGATATAGTTTTTATATTTAAAATACTTATAAATTCAAACAATTTCCCGAGCCCAAGGACCCCCGTTCCTTTTCAAGGGTTTTGCGTTAGCCTTTGCGCTCTATTTGATTCTCACGCTTTCTCTCTCATCGTGATCTTCCTTTGTCTCTGTTTTCTTCAAATATCTTCTCTTTTCTCACTTTCTGCATTTTGGGTTCACTTCAATTTCCATCCGCCTTCTACCTTCGGAACCTTCCTTCCTTCTTTTGCAAACTAGGGTTTTATTTTTAATTGGGTTCTTTTTTGTTCGGAAATCTCGTTACTTCAATTTGCATCAATAAATCTGCGACAATGCCTCCGAGAATAGTGAAGAGAGGCGCTGCGGCGAAGAGGGCATCGAGAGGATCCTCAAAACCCGCACCTGAGAATCATATGCATGAGCATGAAACTGTGGAAGTGGGGGAGAAAAATCATATAGAAAACTCGGCTGTTGATGTTGGGGTGGAAGAGAAGCAAGTTGATGTGGACCAAGACCCTGTGAAAGTTCCAAACGGGTCGGCTAAGGTCGAAAGTAAGTTCCGTTTTTCAATATAGATATTTTTTGGATTTTTTTTATTTAGATCTTCGCAAGATGAGAGATGCGTGCAGGGTTATCTGTAATTGAAGGTTGTTGTATGTTTTGAATTTTATGTGTCATGGGGTTTATCAAAGTTAAAAATTATACTAGGACTTTAAAACGGGTGTCGGGTGAATTCATTCTGCTATGGTTTCAAATTGCGGTCGCGGTGATGATCGTGTTTTCCTTGCAATCGTGATATTGTGGGGAATTGGAGATAGTTGTGGTGGTTGTGGTTTCATCACAATTGAAGGGGACATTGTGGAAGTCGTGGTTTCATCACAATCCTTGACGGAGCGGAAAGTTGCGGACAAAGATGACCACAGTTGTGGTTGCAACCGTGGGAAATTGAGGATGCTGCCATAATTATTGCTGACAGTTTTTTTAAGCCTTTGGTTCTGAACTTGTGATTTGGTTCTTCTTCAATATCTTAATTTGATTAAGAAATAACTGGTGAAAGTATTGTTTGGTTATGTGGTAAGGGAAATCTGGAAATTGATACAACCCTTCCACCCTAACATTTTGGAATGATAAACTATTCATAGAAAGCATTCTTATGATAGATTATATTGGATGGTGCTACCTCGTATTGATTCTTTTTGTATTTATTCTGTAACCTAAGAGGAAGGCTATATTTTATGAGATGTATATACTATGAAGATGGGTTTTGTTTTTTTAGTCCAATTCCTTTTCTGATGCATGTTAGTCCTATATGTTTTGCAAAGATGGAAATAATTTGGACCAAGAATGATGAGAATTGATTTGGAATATGTACATCCTTATTTTAATAATTAATCTGATGATAGAAAGGTTGTGTTTTTGACTGGGGTTTAAATATTTATTTTTTGGCAGACAATGAAGAGGAGGTTAAGGAGTCTATAGATGAATATGAAAAAGATGAGCACTTAGATTTAGAGGATAATTATCCCGAGTATGAACCAGAGGAGTATAGTGGTGTTGACTATGATGAGAAGGAAATTGAACAAGATGAAGGTCAGGAGGAGGGAGATGAAGTAGAGGAAGAACCTGAAGAGATTATTGGTGAAGAAGAGGGTGATACAGGTGATGAAGAAGTTGAATATGTTTATGAAGAAGTTGAGGATGATGATGATGAGCATGCTGTTAAGGAGCATGAGCATGAACAGGTACCCAATGCGGAGGAAGAGGAACATCGTGAGGTTGTAAAGGAGAGGCAAAAGCGGAAGGAATTTGAAGTATTTGTGGGTGGTCTAGATAAGGATGCTACTGAGCATGATCTGAAGAAGGTTTTCAGTAAAGTTGGGGTAGTTACTGAAGTCAGGCTGATGATAAATCCCCAGTCTAAAAGGAACAAGGGATTTGCATTCTTGCGTTTTGAAACTGTTGAGCAAGCTAAACGTGCTGTGGTGGAGCTAAAAAATCCAGTGGTAATTTTTTATCTTATTGCAGTTAAAGCAGGTTCTAAATTGCTAGTATATTAATCATATGTTTTTCATCACTCCAATATCAGATTAATGGTAAACAATGTGGGGTTACTCCAAGTCAGGACAGTGACACTCTCTACTTAGGTAACATATGCAAGACTTGGAAAAAGGAAGCTGTAAGTTTTTCTCTTGGTCTATTTCTTGCTACCTTGGATGTCTGAGTTATGCATACTATTATTATTTCTTGCAACCTTCAAGTCTTGACGTTCTAACTGCTAAATGCAATGTCTGGTGTCAGTTGAAGGAGAAACTGAAACACTATGGAGTAGAAAATGTGGAGGATTTGACTTTAGTAGAAGATGATACCAATGAGGGAATGAATCGAGGATTTGCATTTTTGGAGTTTTCATCACGTTCAGATGCTAAGGAAGCCTATAGGCGATTGCAAAAGAGAGATGTTGTGTTTGGAGTTGATAAGCCTGCAAAGGTTTCCTTTGCTGACTCCTTAATTGATCTGGGTGATGAAATTATGACACAGGTATTTTGATGAATTGAAATTGCAAAGTATGGTTCCTTGTTCTTATTGAAGCATTTGGGGTCCTTATTAACATCTATGTTGGCTTCCAACATAGTAATGTGTTTTGGTTGTGTTATAACTTAAGTTTTCAATTGATTTATGAAAAGAATACTGTGGCTTAAATTTTGTGTTCGATTAAACATTTCCTCAAATTTAACTCAGTTTACACTGGGGAATGAGCTGGTTAAAGCTTTAGCAGATTTAAGTATAACACATACTTTCTATCCCTGCCATGGTCATGAGTGTTTTGCAGTTAATAACTTGAAATACGTTGTATTCACTTATCAATTGTCATTTGTTTTCATTGTATCTGATCAAATGTATATAACTGCAGGTTAAAACTGTATTTATTGATTCACTACCTCCATCATGGGATGAAGATTATGTCCAGGATCTTCTCAAGAAATATGGAGAGATTGAAAAAATTGAGCTAGCTAGGAACATGCCAGCTGCACGGAGGAAGAACTATGGATTTGTCACATTTAGTACACATGCTGCGGCTGTGGAATGTGCCAATAGCATTACTGGTGCAGGGTTAGGTGAAGGTGACAAAAAGGTCAGTTTGGCATTTTAATACATTTCATTTACAGCAGCTAAATGTGTCATTATATATTGCTTCTGGGTCCTTTCAGGCAAAAGTTCGGGCTAGATTGTCACGGCCTCTTTCAAAACCTTTACAAAGAGGCCGTGGGAAACATATTAATCATGGTGATTTTCGTTCTAGCCGCATCTCTGGAAGATTGGCAAGGCCTTCATGGAGTCGACCTGCACCACGTATGCCTCCTGCCCGCGTGGTGAGAGGAGTTGGAAGTCGTGCTCCACCTGTTAGACCTGTTAGTATGAGAAGTAGACGCCCACGCCCTGTCACATCTATGCTAGTAAGAGCCAGGCCAGTTGCTCCTTCAGCTAGAACCTATGACAGGAGATTGACTGGTATGAATTGTGTAATATCTATATCTAGCTCTCTCTTTGTGTAATATCTCTCTCTCTCTCTTTCTCTCTTTCTCTCTCTCTATATATATATATGTGTGTGTGTGTGACTTCCCCGTGGTTAGTATGTCTTTATGAATAATTTACTACGATATTGTCTTGTTGCATGTTGTTAGCTCCCGCATATTCAAAAAGTGGCATGAAAAGAGACTACAGTCAACGTGAAGATCTACCACCTCCAAGAAGTAGAGTTGCTGCAGATTATGGCTCTAGGGTTGCCTCTCAGAGGCACACATCTTATAGGGATTATCCTGCCCGTGGTTCTGACTATGTTGAGCTACATAGAAGTTCGTCACGTGCTGCACCAAAGAGGGGTTATGTTGATGATGGCTATGACCAAAGATTTGAGAGGCCTCCTCCTCCTCCCCATCTGAGTTATCGTGAAGGACACCCCCGTGATTATGACTCTATATCTGGCTCAAAACGTCCTTATTCTGCTATTGTAAGTTTTATTTCTAAAGTATAAACATCTATTTTAATGGATTGTTTTAAATGTCATTTTAGTTTTCTTTTTTATATATGAAATACTTTTTAAATTAATTTCTCATCAGGATGATGTTCCTCCTCGGTATGAAACTGGTACCCGCCAATCAAGATCTCGATTAGATTATGACTATGGAGGTAGTGCTTCACAGTATGGAGATGCTTATGGTGATAGGTTAGTTTCCTCTAAAGAAGGTTCTTGCATTCTCCTTGCCTCAATCCTGTTCTTTTTTAGCAACTTATCCCTCACATTTTGATTGATAGACTTGGAAGATCTAGCCTTGGATATAGTGGCAGTAGAAATTCCATTTCTAATCAAGAATTACATGGGACATATGGCAGTCGACAAGGCGGGAGTTATGCTGGAGGTGGATATTAGTTCACATATAATCTGAAATATTGTTGTAACATCAATTGTTATGTGCTTGGTACTTACATCTTTGTTGCGTGTTGCATGTCAGGTTCTTTTGGTGGTAGTGATGGTGGTATATACACATCAAGTTATGGTGGTGATTATGTCTCGCGTGGAAGTGATGTAATGTTTCTTTTCTTTTTCAATTTGGAAGTAGTCTGTTTTATGTTTATTTATCTGTGACATTTTCATATTTTATGTTGTTGATGCTGTAGGTTGGTGGCCGTTCATATTCATCCATGTATTCTGGTAGAGGTATGGGTGGTGGTAGCAGCAGCTATATGGGTGGTGGTGGATCTGATTCTTATTATTGAGGTAAGTTTTCTAACTTGTTACCATTGCATTTTGTAAAATACTATGAGAAGCAGCAGAACATGTAAATCTCATTTTCTTTCCGAGATTTCTCTACCCTCGAATGGCATCTCCATATTTTTCGTAAGGGATGATCGGCAAAGGATGAACACCTGGTCACTAGTGAATTTGTCTATGAACAGATCTAAATACAATAAAGAAGCTGCTGTAGGGTGTGGAATTTGAAGCTTATACTCAATATGATGCCTACCATTTGGAGCTGAACATTGCCAAGTAATTGTCTGGTTTTTGAATGTCACCAATCAAGGGTTATGTCAATTCAAGTCTTCTCTCGATGGACAAATTCTGAGTTCTTGAATTTCTGCTGTAAGTAATGAAGTTGATTACAAATGGAAAGAGAAGTGCCGAGCATTTGATGTATAATTTAAGTTCGTATTATAAGGTTCCCATATGGGTGGGAAATGTGAAAGATCACTCCATATCATGTACATTTGGAAAGAACCAAGGCATTGGATATTACTTTTTGATTACGGATTATTGGATTTTTTCCTGCTGTCATAAAGTTGGTTTTTTTCGTCACAACAGAGATATATCTCTTTGGATTGATTATAGTGTCGACGGTGCTATGATCTCGAACAAGAATGAACTACCCTGCACTTTGTGGAGCTACCATTGGTAGTAGTAATATGAGAACTACTTCGGCAATAAATAAAGGAAAGATTATGAAATAGTAACATCCTAGAAAGCATGATGCACTGATAATGTGTTGCTGGAGTTTTTAACATGATATCTTGTACGTAGGGGGAGTACAAGATCCAAATGGAGCATTGCATATTTTTCCTTAAGATTCTTGCCCCCTCGGAATTTTTCTTTTTGCGATGCAACTATTTTTCTGCGCTTCATTACTATCCAATCCAATTGCGTAATATCTGGAAGACCATTTACCCTTATGCTACATCATTGGGAAATGCAACTTAACGAGGGTGTAAAGTAGCTGAATGGACTCAATATCATCTGTTACTGACAGATTTGAATTTTGAGAAATTAAGGGAATTGGCACTTTATGCCATATACCCTGCTTGATATAGCAAAACTAATGACCCAATGACAAACATGAACTAACCAAAATATCATACTAGAAAGGCACTGGAAGTTAATGCATGCGAAATGAGAATACTAGATTACTGACTTTTTTCTTTTTAATAAAAGTTTCTAAGAATGTTTTCAACTACATTGATGATGGTTTCTATTTAGTTCATGCAAATCCAAATTCTCTACATTGCTTTATGTTTATTTAGATCCTTGTGCTGCTTGTGAATAATTAGTCTCAATCAGGCTTTCATTTCACTACCCTCCATAGTGTGAGGGATCTTTACTGACATGTTGAAGTTTTAGTTTCCAGTCTGCTCTTTTTCTGCACTGCAGGGTGTTGCCCCTCTTCAAGTTGTTTGATAAAATTTGTTTCTGCATTCCTCTAGATTTTATTGTGGCATTTGTTTGACATGTTTCAAATTATGTAAATTTTTCCATTCATGACATTGTAATTCTGGGTAAAATAGGATATAATGCCGAGTTTCAAATTTACTAGTCTCGTATTGTGATTAATGCTATTACACTCTTGAGCTGCTTTTGTTTCTGGTGGGATTCGTAATTAGCTATTCGCTGTCACATTTTTTTACAATAATTAATTTGGAACAACGTGCTTTGATGACCTGAAATTCTTAATTTGCAAGTTATGTTAGCTTCTTATCAAATACACGCATGGTTGTCAAGATTTTGTAGTTGATGTTTGAGGCAATTTGTCAAATTGATCCTTAAGAGAAAAGCATCACCAATAAAATATCCGAAACAACTTAAGCACTAGATTTTTTTATTTATATATTTAGATATCAACTTTAGATGGATGGATGATACACATTATTTTAATTTATGCACTTCATTGGAATCTAGAAAAATGAATTGTGTCAAATAGTTTTTGTTTAGTACAATGAAGATTGACTCGATTTACCGCGCTTTTGGTGTGGCGACCTTGACACGTCCACCATATATGAAATAAAGTAGATTTTTTTAAAGAAAAAATTGAACCGAATGAAATTAATTTTGAGACTTGATTTTTAGTTAAAATAAAATTGGATGGAATTTGTGTTTAAATAATTTTATTTTTAAAATATAAATAGTGAAATTCAGTATACTTAGTTAATTTAAAATTTGTTTTACACTTTTTTATTTAAAATTAATACCGAATTAAAGTTGATTCTTTAACGTAGAACTAAATATGTGCATATTTACTTAAAATAATTTTAATTATTATGTTAATGTGAGTTTTGGATAATATGAATTCAAACACAAATTGATCTAGTATTAAATAGAGTAAGGTACACTTAAATTTCTTCTTCTTTTTTCTGTGTAATATAAAATTGGGAGACATATGTAATGTTTTATAAATAAGTTATTATACATATGTTATATAAATAATATAAAAAGGGAGACTACTCAAGTTGCTTTTAAAATAAAAAGGAGGATTTTGCAAAAAATTCAAAAAGCTGGAATGTTAGTATAATTTGAGAAAATATCACGTGTTGATATAATTTACTCTACTAAATAGTGTAAATAAAATGATACTTCTATTGGAATGAGTTTATTTTTAACTTCTTGATTATTTTTTATCAATTAAGAAAACTTGCATACAATGTATGGAATGGAAAGTGTCCATGAATTTTAGGTCCCTTGTGCATTCCAAATAATGGAATTGTGCCAAGTTCAGTTCTTTTTCAATATTTCGGGGAAAAAGAAAAAAAACCAGTAATAATACACAAATATCTATCAATGGCCTTTTTATGAGTTGTGGAAGATGGACACGTGGACACCGTCTTTATCTTTGTGAATTCTATCTTTGGCAAAGCGATTTCCTTTCTTTTTCTTTGTGATGGTTGCATTTACCATTGGAAAAAACATTCTCCGCGCAATTCGCTACTCCTCATACTAATAAAAAACTATGTCTTGAAATTATAAAAATATAGTTTTTACCCATGGAAGTGTTACAAAAATATCAATATAAAAATTAAAAATTTAAGTTTGATGATAATATAAAACTATTTTATGGAGTTGATGTACAATTTTTATTTTATTTTATTACCGAACCAATGCGTCATCATTCCCTTGGTCGAAAAGAAGTTGGTGTGATGATACAGTAATTATGTAGTGCATGCACTTTGCAGCACGCAATGTGAGGTGAAAATAGGGACAAGACAAAGCTGAGTGCATAAATCGGAAAGGAAAGGAAAAGGAAAAAGAAGGAAAAGAGGTAAAGATAGATTGATGAGAAATAACGTGTCGTTTTTTTTAGCGGTGGAAGCATCACCTCTCTGTTTGTTGCTGCTTCAAAATGAAAAAGCCGCCAACGTTCTTGTCCTTGCTGTTGTTCATGTTTCATCTTCCTCTGTTCTTCATACCCCAAACGTAGAATAAAAGGACAACCAAAAACAAAGGCATCCCTGTTGGTTTTCTCTGCATTCTGAAAAATGGGTCGTCGTCAAAACGACTCAGATTTCGGTAGATTCGCGCTTCTCGCCCTCTTATTCATTGGCACAATCTCTTGCTCCGCTGTGTACATTTTCCTTACCGTGGTCTTCAGTCCCGTCAATGAATCTCTGCCTTCTGTGGAAGAAGTGGAGGGTCCAAAAGAGGGGCAATGTTGCAGCGGGATTGAGCATTTGGAACTTTGGGGTGATGCTGTCAAATGGGGTTCTGAATTTATGTTGAATTCCTCTGAGGAATGTTGCATGGCGTGTAAGAGAATGTGTACCGGTGAGGGAGGGTCCTGTTTGTGTAATTCCTGGGTTTATTGTGGAGATAGAGAGGCGTGTGGTCCTAGATTTGGTGAGGTATCGTTGCATTTCTTTTGGATTACCACTACTAAATGTAATTTATCATATGTGGCATATGATTTAGGTTATTTAGAATGTTGATTGGCTCATGTACATGCTTTTGGCTTCACATGTAATCGTCATGTATAATTTTCATTTGTTCCTACAGTTATACTCCCCCTATTGTGAGATCTAGCTTAAGATTCATTTTTTATGCTCCTTGTGGCCAACAGGTGAGCCCAATGGTTGTGCATTGGGTACTCCATCTTGGAGGTCCGATTTTCTTTTATGCCAATGAGTCTAAAACCAACCTTTCCTATTATCGAAATTTCAATGTTCTTCTTAATTTTTCCTTACTTGCCATTGGTTATTATCATACCCTTATGTTCTGATTATTGAATACTAGACACATGGCGAACTCTTGCATATAGTCAGAAATCCTATTTAGATAGACAAGAATCTGTTTTCTTTATTCCTTTGTGCTTTAACTTAATGGTACTTGGTAATTTGGTTGGGCATGAGAGTATCATTATTGTAAAATATGCCGGTTTAGCTGGTGTAGTTTATTATTGCTTTAAATTTACGATTGAATAAGGATGGAATGTTAATCCTTTTTTATGCATAGAATTTTCAATGTACTTGATAGTCGATTCTAATCTTATTTCCTGCCTTCGTTTCAGTGTTGGTTAAAAAAACAAAAGGATGCTTTAAATCCTGATCGACGAGCCTCGGGAGATCTAGTAATGTGGACTTCAGGGTTTGTCTTTGATAAGGACGAGGTAGGAATATTATTTATTGCAGTTCTATCAAATTATTCTATTTGGTTTCTAAAAGTATTTTATTTTCTGCTTAAAAAAAATCACCATGACCAAGGGGTAACCTAGAAAAAAGAAAAACAAGTGATGTGTCATTGAAACCTCCTCAAGAATACTGTGTTAAGCTCCAAACAAATGCACCAAATTGTTAAATTTTATTATGGGGTAAATAGTTTGGATGAGAAACAAGGTAAAAAGAACTGCAGAATGTTTTTCCTCTTTGGATTCTTATAAAAGGCTGAAAGTTTTGCTATACAAATAAATAGGTAGTTTTGTATTTCCTGCCAGTTAATCTGTCAATGTTTAGAGATTCATGTTTTTAAATCTTCTAAAATACTTTTGGAGGATCTTCTCTGATACCATGCCACGTTACTCTCTCTATGTATTTTCATAAGAATCACTTCATTCTGATATGTTGATTAGTTTGAGGTCCATATTTCTTTCCATAATTGTATCCCATCTTTCTGCTATTAAGATTTATCCCATCTTTCTGTCCATAGTTGTATTTATGTATAAGCATTAAGCAATGCTTTATGTTCATTATAATTTTCTAAAATATATTCTCAACATACTTTTGTTTTTTGTTCAGCTTGAAGTACGTGATTGTTGCATATATTTTAGTTTTTCTAGATCATTGAGCTATATATAACTTTTCCTTATACACTTGTATTTTTAGGGAATCGTTGGTATGGAAACCGACTATGGAATTGTTCGTATAAAAGTAAGTAATTCTCTGCATGCCACTATATCATATATCATTACATGCATTGCATTTTTTTTTACCTTGGTTATTTTGCATCTAGTATGCCAGACATGTTTTCTTTTTTTACCTCATTTCTATAGTGTATTTCTTAATGTTTAATCTAGCAAATGAGGCATGTTTAATCTGTTTGAAAAAATAATTTTAAAAGCTGTAGCTCTTAATAAATTGTTAATTTGCTTCTCTATATATTTCTGTATTTATGTGTGTAATGGAGAGGGGCCAATAGATACCATATACATGTTTTGCTAATGAAAGATTAGCAGACAACCCTATCAACAAACTTCTTACATATTTTGTCGACCAATGTTTAAGACAAGTTCAATATTAAAATGCAATTTTGGATAGACTAGTAACTGATTGCTGTGTTTATATATCCTGTACCAAGTTAGGCGTAGCTTGAAGATGTTGCACATATTGTTATCTAGCCTTATATTTTCCATTAGTTTAGAGTGTCACTGGATAGGAAGGGGAGAGATTGTTTAGTTATGAACACTGCTTCAACTTTTGCCCTTATTAGATGAGGATTCTGTCTCCTCTAATCATTAATCATGCTCTTAATGTAACATGCAAATTTATATCATGACCAATATCTAGATATAATAATGTCTTGACTGTGTTTAGATATATGATTTTGGACAATCTAATGTTCTTCTGGTTGTTCAATAGATAGAATGAAAAGAGGAGACTTAAAAAAATGTGTTCTAAACTTTCATTTCTGCAGCTTTTTCCTGAATGTGCTCCACATTCTGTTGCCTACATTCTTGAGCTCTTGGCATTGCCTCACTGTGCTGGTTGTCAGATTCATAGAGCTGAAAGCCGAGGAAACTTTTGGGATTTAGAAGGAAATCACATAAAAAAGGTAAGGTTCATTATATGAATAACTATACAAAATTGTGCATACAATTGTCACTTCTACGCTGATGTGTTTTTTTTTTTTTTTTTTTTTTTTTTTAATTTGTTATTATTATATTTTCTATCAATTTCTTTGTAAATGAATTAATTTTGACTTCCACAGACTCTGCTCATCACATGACTGGTTGTTGTATTTCTATACAGACAGCCAATGTCACTTAAATGATTTTATTTTTCTTTTATGATTCTATATATCAATATTTCTTGATAACTGTCTTTGACTTGGTTACACTATGTTTTACTGCATTTCATTCATGATTCTATCTCAACCTTTTGCGGTTTTCTACTTCTATCGACCATTTAAATGAGAATAAGGAGAAAAAATCAACTAGTGGCCCCATTTGTGCTTAATATTGGTTTTATCTCATACTGCATCTACTTATTTTTTATCCTAGCTTGCTTTTTTAAAATAGTCCGAAGTTTGTTCCTAGACGCTGGAAACTTGCTCAGTACTAGTTCATTGTTCTTAAATTTTGTTTTTGTATAATTAACCTCCACATTATTGAATATTGACCCCCATTTTTGTATTTCTGAATTTGAATGTTAATGTAGACTCCATGTGGTCCTCCTTATGCACTTATTCAAGGAATATTGGACTCCTATGGTATGTTCAAGGATATTCCAAAAGAGTACTGTCCTATCATAAGAAGAGGATCTGTAGCATGGGTTGGTTCTGGTCCAGAATTCTTCATCAGCCTTGCTGGTCACGAGGAATGGAGAAATTCATACACCGTTTTTGGCAATGTTCTATCTGAAGATATGGAAATTTTAGAGAAAATTTCTCAGCTTCCAACTAAATCTGAAATTTGGAATAACATCAAGATGTCTATCTTGGAGAACCCAGTTTCATTACGGTTTCGAAGAATGAACACCTAGATTTGAAAATCCTCAGTATCATTCATTTGTTATCATTTGTTAAGTGATAAGGGGCTCAATATGGATCTTGAGCTCAAGTTATTTCATGCTAGGTATTCAGGCACCATTTTGTAGCTGATTGCAAATCTAGTAGAAGTTGAGTGAATATACCAGTTTGATAGGTATGTGTCTTTGTGTATATTTCATGATTATGTTTTTTCATTACATGACTTAAGATAGGGCAGCACCATTCTCATCATCCTGGCAAACAAAAGCATATGGGAAGTGGAATTATGCCCCAAGATACTAACTGATGTCACCCATTTGTAAGCATTAACATGTGCTACAAAATTAGTGAACATTTCTTTATTCACCATCAGCTAAGGTGAATATAATAGAATTTCCTGAGTCTTTCTTTGTATTGAAGTTGTACCTTGCACCTCTTGCCTTTTAGGCTTTATATCTAGGTCATACAAAAATATATCTTGGCGAACTTTTAGTATTTTCTAATTTTAGGTAATGCTTTTTGTACTTTTCTGGAAGGAACTTCAATTTTAGACAGAGTATCTGACAAGTTACATAATAAAATATGGACCTGAACATTTACTATTTTGATAACTTCTAATATAGTCTAAAAGCTTGCAACTTTCATGTGTTTGTAACTGTTTGGGACCCTGGAAAATCAATCTATCTATCTAAAAGTAAAAGGCTTAATTCGAGTAAAGAAAAATATTGAGAAGAATTAGTTGAGGTTTTTATGTTACATAATAAATCAATGTAGCCTAATGTAATGTAATGTGCTTAATTTTAAATTATTAAATGTTTGGCAACTGTTTAAATTTCAAATAGAATAGTTCCTGTGGTTAAGTGATAAATTGGTTCAATCTAGAACTTTTCAGTTTTGGTGATTTCATTATTCAAACATTATTATGTTGATTGTGTTTCTTAAAAGATAAACAGGGTAAAATCAATATAAAAGATAATAACTATTCATTCATTCAATATTAAATAATTTTAAAATTAAAACAGAAAAGAAATAGTTTAAAATAAATTGAACCAAAATAAGTAGATAATTCATTTAAAAAATGCGTAGCGCGTGATTGGTATAATAACACTAGTATAATAATTTAGTGACAGATTTGAAAATGGAAAAAGTAGTAAAAGTAACGTGAGAGTTGTGTTTGGTTTGTGGGACGTAAGATGAGGCAGGAGGAGGTGATAGGTGAAGGAAATTTGAAGAAGATCCTCCAGAAGTGCTTATTCTATTGGCTCTCTCAATCCTTCCAATAAATACAAAGTGAAATGCAATGCTCCCACCACTAATAATAGCACAACCTTTTGTCCCTCTCTCATGGCCAAGGTCAAAGCAGAGGAATATAAGATGAAAAAAACAAGAGAGAAGAAAAGAGAAGGAAAAAAACGTACCCACTACTCACCCCACCCTTGGCGGTGGGTAACTTTAATAACACCCACCAAGTGCTCACCCCACAAACAGCTAATTTTGATGATAAGGGCAAGGGAATTGGTCATGGCCAAAGTCAGAGGTGGACCTCTCTCCCCCGCGGCGCACGTTAGCCCCTCTCCCTCTCTCCCAAGCGGTGGTGGCCTCCTCATCCACCCACGTCACAAATTCAGCCGCACATCCCTCCCCACTTTAACAACAACCATGCCCCTTTCCCTCCACCACACCCTACCCAAACAACCTTCTCACTCTCTTCTCCTCTCCCCCTTAACCTCCGCCCCCCTCCTCCTTATACTTCACTCACCCCCTTAACCTAAAGACGATACCTTTTTCACCTTCTTCTCCGCCATGGCCTCCCCCTCTTCCCCCACCGACTCCAATCCTCCCTCCGCCGTTCCTCTCCCCCTTCCCGCCCCACCCTCCACCTCATCCCGCCGTCTCCCCCCGCCCTGCTGGACCCCGGAGGAAACCGCTGCCCTCATCGACGCATACCGTGACAAGTGGTACTCCCTCGGCCGCACCAATCTCAAAGCCACCCACTGGCAAGAGGTCGCCGATGCCGTCACCGCCCAATGCCCCAACGCCGCCCCCACCGCCAAAACCGCGGTCCAGTGCCGCCACAAAATGGAAAAACTCCGCAAACGCTACCGCACCGAAATCCAACGCCTCCGCTCCCTCCCCCTCCCTCGCCTCATTAACACCACCACCGCTTCACCTTCTTCCTGGGTCCACTTCAAATCCATGGACTCCATGGAAAAAGGCCCCAACAAACCCCACATCGATACAACCACCGCCACCGCCACCAACCCCAACACCCCCACCAACAATCTCAATTTCCCCGACGACGAAAACGACGACGACGATCTGTACGAGGAATTCAAGAACGCCCCCGGATCCAACACGCGCAGCCTCAACAAACTCTACAAGAACGGCTTCGGACCCGGCTCGGCGTCCGGGTTCAGGATCCGGATCCCGGCGGGGGTGCCAAACCACGCGCCGTCCAAGTTCTTCAACGCGCCTCCCCCCGGGATGGGGCCACGCAACGGCGCCAAGAGGGAGCGTGAGAGCGACGCGGTGGCGGAGATGGTGAGCGCGATAAAGGTGTTGCGCGACGGATTCGTGAGGATGGAGCAGATGAAGATGGAGATGGCGAGGGAGATCGAGAGCATGCGGATGGAGATGGAGATGAAGCGCACGGAGATGATCCTGGACTCGCAGCAGAGGATCGTGGAGGCTTTCGCTAGGGCCGTTTCGCAAAAGAGGAGCAAGGGCAAGTCCACGCCTTCTCCCTCGTCGCAACCGTGATCACTAATATTGGGTGGTTTATGCCTCTAAGGTGTTTGATTAATGGTAATTAGTACGTTCTGTTTTGTTCTTAGGTAGGTTCATATTGCTATACTCCTCTTCTGTTGCAACCTTTGGTCATGTTTGGGAATTGTTGATTCATGTTGAATACTCTATAGGGTTGGTCAATGTCGTTTAAGCCTTTCATCGCCTTAATTGTAATTTTCTGTCTCATCTACTTTTTCATCATTTTAGTTATTTGTCTCCAATCGTCTCATGTTTTATCTGATAACGGAAGGTTATTATGTAATAATGTGTATAACAATTTCTCTTTGGAACCATTGTCATGTATGAAGCTAAAGTTGCACATAGACTAAATTTTGGAGTCTATAAATGCGTTCAAGTTACAGGTATAATAAGGCAAATTGTTCAACTCAGGACACGGTTTTACCGAGACCATTGTGATGTGTGGCAGAGGAATTCTTAACCAAAAAGTGACTGTTTTAGTTTGAGCTAACACTGAAGCATTTTAAATTGAGTTAAGATAGAGATTACTGAAAATATATGAATCTCCCTATTCATGCTTCTTGTGTCTTGAATAAATTAAATTGTAGGATGAATGATCTCACGAATAGCTGGGAAATTATGTATAAAATTGTGATTATAAAATTCCATAACGCATCATGTTGTGTGAATTGCATAAATACACGAGGAATAAATATAAAATGTAAAAATAATAATTGTCTAAAAGGTAAATAACCCAAATTAGAGTTTATTTACATTCTCTACTTGCACTAGGACCTAAATTTGTAAGCAATCGTGAGAAAGGCATAAAGTGGAATTCAGCAAATAGAATGATGTTGAAGATGATGAAGATGATGATATATATAAACAAACAGCAATTATTATAAGTTCAATTCAATCAACGTACATCGTGGTGAGTGAGGCCTATCTAAAGCTCAGCTCAACCATTCATCACCTCATTAAGGTATTTGAACTCCTCGAAGATATTCCGCAAATCATCCAAACCAACATCGGCTTCTCTCACACTTTCTCCCCTTGGATGTATGTACCTCCGAATGATGTAAATCACAAGCAGTGACAGAAAAACAAAAAGCAGAGAAAGAAGAAAAGCCCCAGAGGCTATAAACCAGAAAAGAGGCATCTCAAAGGAGCCACAGGGCACTGTAATACCTGAAGCCATGCCTACCAGTTCTGGAACATAGTAACATGGTCCAGCAATCAACATAAGCATGATGAAAAGCTGCATCATAGGGTGCAGTGGAACAACCAGCCACAAAATCAGCGCATAGCAGAAGAAGATCATTGTGGTCTCTGTGATTTGTTGAAAGAACTCAGTGAATGCTTCTCCCAAGCTCAGCAATGACTTTGTTTCCATTTTGAAGACAAATTGAGAGGTCAAAATTTGTGCTCGATATCTAACCATACTTGGACTCGCTATGAGCAAAGCACAATGGAACTGAGGAGAAATGTCGAATACACTGTAAAATGTGGAGGATAAGAATTTCATGAATCCCAAATCTTTTTCTCTTGGGGTGTTTGTCAAATCCTTCCCCGAAATGGGAAGAATGTCTTTTTTCTTTACCTGACAGAAGAAAGAATTCGAAACAAATCAATACAGTGTCAGGAAATATCAATTTACATACTTCAATGTATAAATTTTATCTCGTAAGGGTCACATACAAAATAATCGTTTTCGTAATTTAAAATTTAATAAAAAGTCAAACCTATAATCAACAAAAATGCAAACCAATTTATCTATTAATATTTTTCACTGAATAACTATAGAATTCATCCATTAAAATAATACTTTTTAAAAATTAAAATTATATTTTTCAATTTTTTCCAAAAATAATTATGTAAAAAAATTTTAAAATATATTTTTGAAAACTTAAAAAAAATTAAAAATTATTTCACTATAACAAAATTGGTTGAAATTAATTTTTTATCGTTATTGATAATATCGATAAGAGTATATATATATAATTTTAAAAATAATAAATGAATTTGATTTAATCTAATTATTTTATTTTTATTTTTATATTTCTTTAATAAATAAATGGGTTGATAAATTGTAATACTATTTTTTATTATAAATATATCTATTCGCAGGGAGTCTTTTGATATATTTTTCCAAGGATGCTTTTTCCACTCCTAATTTTTCTAAAGAAAAAAATATATATATACATATATATATATATATATATATATATATATAATATTTTCTAAATTGAGTTTTCTTAATAACTAAAAAGTCTCAATAATTAAGAACCATTTCATGCTTGAATTTAATTACGGTTGATAATAGTGGAAGAACTGGATACACAAAAAAAAATCTATTTATAAAATATCTTATGAAATTATCATTGCAATTGAGACTTTATTAAAATAAAAAGATATTAAATATTTGAATATTTTATTTATTACATGGATGATCTAATAAAAAATATCGTCGAACTTTTTTATTATCTTTAAAAGAAAAAATGGGACCGATATATCTTCAATTCGATACAAATATTCAAAATCTTAGTGACAACATGAATTTATTATCGATCATGTTTAGTTTTCTTTTAAGAAAAATAAAATTTTTTGGAAGTTTTCTCCAAACAATCAAACTAGGTGACTTATTCATTTAATTAAATGAAAATGAACCTGTTTCCCATCTATTATCATAAATACTTAAAACTATTTTTTAATTAATTTAATGATTTTATTGCTTTCCATAGTAATTTTTGAAAGTCATATATATGATGTTTTATTTTCTGAAGTTTTAAGGGTAAAAATTATATAAAACATAGAAGTTACTTTTATTTAAATATTGCCTATAATTTAGTATTATATGTATATGTCAAATAACATCTGTAATATTTTTCTTAATTAATTAGATTTGTTTATGCTTAAAAAAAGAAAACATTAATCAAATCAAGATTTATTTTTCATAATTATATGTTTTTACGAATTCAAAATTTTCCAAAAAAAAATTAAAAGTTAAAAATGTATTTTTAATTTTTTCATAAAATATTATATTTACTTAAAAAATGCAATTTAACTAGTAAAAAACACGATCGCTAATTAGTTAGGTTTTTATAAATAGCAACCGATCTCATTGTTAGTATTATGGTGCTTGATTTAGTCCCACATCGATTAGGATTGTGAGATGAGGTTCTCTATTTTGTTATATAAGCAACCCTATGTAAAGTTTGAGATACACACGAAATAAAAATTACTTCCTAGTGTAGTCGTGGACGTAGGCATACATATTTTAGCCGAACCACGTTAAAAATTCTTGTGTCGTTTATTTTTCTCTCCTTCATTCTTTCCTTTATTATTGTCTTGTTCCTAACAATTGGTATCAAGAGCCAATTTTCTTAGTATGCTCTGTGGTTGCGGCTTTGTCCGATCTTCCACATCGAAAAGATTTGGTCTTTTTTCTTGGGAATCTCGGTTTAGAGAAGCGAGTGGGAGCTTTCTTCGAAAGCGGTGAGAGCAATGACATTGGAAGAAGGAAAGGTGAGGATCGAGAAGTTCGATGGCGGTGACTTCGGGTTCGGAAGATGCGAGATGGAAGATTATACGTATCGGAAGAAGTTGTATCTACCCTTGACGAGGCGAAGCCAACCGACATGGAGCGATCAGAATGGGAGTTGTTAGATCGGCAGACGCTTGGTGTGATCCGGCTGACATTAGCCAAGAATGTTGCGTTCAACATCATGAACGAAAAGACAACCGTAGATTTGATGCAGGCGTTGTCAAATATGTATGAGAAGCCCTCTGCGACCAATAAAGTGCATTTGATTCGCGAGGCTAGTCAACCTCAAAATGGGTGAAGGTAACTCGGTTACTAATCATATTAGTGAATTTAATGCAATTATTGCGCAGTTGACATCGGTGCGAGATAATATTTGATGATGAGGTGAAAGCATTAATTTTATTATCATCTCTACGGAAAGTTGGGGTGCAAGCTATTCTATCGAGTAAGTAATTACGCAAGCAATAACAAGTTGAAGCTTGATAACATCCGTGACTTGATCTTAAGCGAAGATGTTCGCAGAAAAAATTCGATAGAATCTTTCGGTTCTAATTCGGGTTCGAGCATTGAGTACTGAAACTAGAGGAAGAAGTCGCCGAAAGGTCGTAATCAAGGCCGAGGCGAGATCAAAATCCGAGAGGAGATCACAAGCAAAAGTCCGGAATGATATCACTTGTTGGAATTGTCGAGAAAAAGGGCCACTTTTCAAATCGGTGTAGGGCTCCAAAGAAGGACAACAACAACAACAAGAAGCAAGATGATGATCAATCGGCAAATGCAGCGAATCGATGAAGTTGAAGATGCACTTGTTATGTAGTTTAGATAATTCTATTGACTCATGGATTATGGACTCAGGTGCGTCATTTCATACTACACCTTCCTTAGAACTATTATCTAACTATGTTTCGGAAAGTTTGGGAAGGTCTACCTTGCAGATGGAAAATCTCTTGATATCATAGGAAGAGGTGATATTAACATCGGAACCTCTAATGGAAACGTGTGGACTTTGAATAATGTCGGACATATTCCAACCTTAAAGAGAAACTTAATATCTATAGGACAGTTGGATGATGAGGGACATTACACCACTTTTGGAGATGGACATTGGAAGGTAATGAAAGGTAATCTTGTTGTTGCTCGTGGAAAGAAGCAAGGATCTCTCTACATGATTGCGAGATGAGGATATGATATCGGTTGCAGAAGTTGGCAACAATTCCTCCTTATGGCATCGGAGGCTTGGGCATATGAGTGAGAAAGGAATGAAGCTCATGATATCAAAAGGTAAAATACCTAACGTGAAGCATGTTGACGTTGGACCTTGCGAACATTGTATCTTTGGAAAGCGAGAAAAAGGTTAGCTTCTCAAAAACAAGTAAGTCGTCTAAAGTTGAAAGACTAGAACTAGTGCATACGAGATGTTTGGGGGCCGGCTTCGGTGAAATCCCTTGGAGGTTCACAATATTATGTAACCTTCATTGATGACTCTACAAGAAAGGTATGGGTTTATTTTCTTAAAAATAAATCGATGTGTTTTCTCGTGTTTAAAAGGTGGAAAAAGGAGGTTGAGACTCAAACAGGTTTAAAGGTCAAATGTTTGAAGTCCGATAATGGTGGAGAATATGACGGTGAGTCAATTCAAGGAGTTTTGTTCGAGAGAATGGGATCGGAATGATCAAGACAGTTCCAGGAACACCGGAACAAAACGGTGTGGTAGAAAGAATGAACGAGAACCTTGAATGAGAGAGCAAGATGTATGAGAATCCGGTCGAGGATTACCCAAGGTATTTTGGGCGAGATGCAATAAACACAGCGACCTATCTCATAAACGAGAGGACCATCGGTTCCTTTAGACTATAAGTTACCCGAAGAAGTATGGTCTGGAAAAGAGGTAAATCTTTCACATCCGAAAGTTTTTGGTTGTGCTTCATATGTTATGTTAGACTCTAATAGTAGAGATAAATTGGACCCTAAGGCAAAACGTTGTTATTTCATTGGTTATGGATCCGACATGTTTGGCTACGAGGTTTTGGGATGACCAAAACAAGAAAATTATCGAAGTAGAAATGTTACTTTTAATGAAAACATGTTCTATAGAGACGAGATTGCGGAATCCGCAAATGTAAATAAACGACTAGAGCAAGTATCATTAGAAGAAATTTCGGAAAGTGATGTAGTCAACCGAAGGCGGAATATACAAGTAGAGCCTATGTCGAGCCTCGAGACAGAACTCTGAACAAATAGTAGAGTCAGCAACTCCCGAAATCTTGGTTAAAAGATCTAGCAGAACAATTGTAGCACCACAAAGGTATTCCCCTTCATTGCATTATTTGTTGTTGATCGATGTTGGTGAGCCGAGCATTTTGCTGAGGCTATGCAGGGAGATGAATCTATTAAGTGGGAGCTAGCAATGGAAGATGAGATAAAGTCCCTTCGGAAGAATAAAACATGGTCTTTAACCAAGCTACCGGAAGGAAAGAAAGTTTTGCAAAACAGGTGGGTCTATAGGTTGAAAGAAGAACCGGATGGCAGCAAAAGATATAAGGCTAGACTCGTAGTGAAAGGGTTCCAACAAAGACAAGGAATTGACTTCACGGAAATTTTCTCTCCTGTTGTCAAGATGACTACCATCGAGTTATCTTGAGTATAGTAAGCTGCAGAAAATCTTCATTTGGAGCAGTTAGATGTCAAAGCTGCATTCTTACATGGGGATCTTGAAGAGGAAATTTTTATGACACAGCCAAAAGGTTTTGAAGTACAAGGCGGAGAAAATCTTGTATGCAAGCTTCATAAAAGTTTGTACGGATTAAAACAAGCGCCGAGACAATGGTACAAGAAGTTTAATGAGTTTATGAGAAACTCGGGATTTCGCGAGATGTGAAGAAGATCACTGTTGTTATGTGAAGAAATATGTTGATAGCTATATCATTCTTGCCTTATATGTTGACGACATGTTGATTGTTGGAGCTAATATGGCGAGAAATTGACAAGTTGAAGAAACAATTGTCGAGAGAGCTTTGAAATGAAGGATCTTGGTCCAGCCAAGCAAATTCTTGGTATGAGAATCTCCCGAGATAGAGATAAAGGTATTTTGAACTTATCTCAAGAAAAATATATAGAAAAATTGCTTAGCGAGATTCAATGTTGGGAATGCTAAAACCAGGAATACACCTTTGGGAACTCACTTAAAGTTTTCAAAGAGGCAATCTTCTCAAACGAAGAAGAAGAAAGTCACATGTCTAAAGTGCCATATGCATCTGCAGTAGGAAGCTTGATGTATGCTATGGTTTGCACCGGACCGGACATAGCACATGCGAGTGGGAGTTGTGAGCGATTTCTATCAAATCCCGGAAAGGAGCATTGGGAAGGAGTGAAGTGGATATTCGGATATTTGAAAGGCACTTCAAAGATGCATTTGTCTTTCAAGAGAAGTAATCTCATTTTACAGGGGTTTTCCGATGCGGACTTGGGAGGTGATCTTGACGGTAGAAAGAGCACAACAGGTTATATTTTTACATTGGGTGGTACAGTCTATCGGTTGGAAGTCTAAACTTCAAGGAAGGGTCTCTCTCTCAACCATCGAAGCGAGTATGTAGCTATCTCGGAAGCGGCGAAGGAGATGATATGGTTGAAGAACCTTCTAAAAGAATTAGGAAGAGAACAAGATGGTTCTCCGTTGTTTAGTGACGAGTCAAAGTGCTATTTGTCTTGCTAAAAATCCAATCCTTCATTCCGGATGTAAGCACATTGAATTGAAGTATCATTTTATCGAAACCCGATAAATGATGGAGACTTGAGTTTGTTGAAGATTCCAGGTGCGAGAGAATCTCGCCGATATGTTGACCAAGACTGTTACAACAACTAAGTTGAGGCTTTGCATTGCCTCAACTGGCCTTCGAGCAAATTGATGATGAAGGCACTACACTAGGTGGTAACGTAAATCAAACTCCAAGTGGGAGAATTGTTAGTATTATGATGCTTGATTTAGTCCCACATCGATTAGGATTGTGAGATGAGGTTCTCTATTTTGTTATATAAGCAACCCTATGTAAAGTTTGAGATACACACAGAAATAAAAATTACTTCCTAGTGTAGTCGTGGACGTAGGCATACATATTTTAGCCGAACCACGTTAAAAATTCTTGTGTCGTTTATTTTTCTCTCCTTCATTCTTTCCTTTATTATTGTCTTGTTCCTAACACTCGCGTGGTAGTAAAATATCAGTCGCAAGATGTCTAACAATTAAAATCTCTTTGGTCGCTAATAGTCACCGATTTTCAATTCAATCCATAAAACAATGAGGATCAGTTCAACGGAACATGTTAAAATCAATACATAATTGGTGACCAAATACTTTGGTCGTTAATATAATTTAGTGTAGATAAAATCATAATTAAACCAATATGATAAGTTATATGCACACAGAATATAATTTCAGTCGCTAACTAAATTATTTTAATCACTAATTTTGGTTGTTCTTGTTGTAATTTAGAATTAAATAAAAATGAAAGAAATATTTAATATAAAGTAAATAATTTCCAAAATATTTTTCATTTTATTAGCATTTAATATTTAATTTATTTTACTATAATATTCCAATTCAATAAAAACCATAAAAGAATTTAATTGGGAGAGATAAAAATTGTTAGAAAATAAACAACTGTTAGTTACAATTTCTTTCTTTTTCTTCTATGTTTGTAGCTAGTTTTCTGCAACGATAACCTAGTCAAATCCAGAAATCTTACAGTGTATTGAAAAGGTCGAAAAAGACTCACCCGCACCCTATTCAATCCAGGTGTTACTTGCAGCAGCATCTCACAAAGATTAAGGCTTATACTGGATAATTTTTTCAGGAACTGGTTATCAATCTCTTTCTTTGTTTCATTTCGAGGTACTTCATCTGGCTGTCAAAACAAAAATGTAAGCTTCGTTTAAGTTGTGAGAACAAGTTGTTCATGCTCCAATGGTGTATATATTGCTCTCTAAATTTAAAGAAGAAATATTTTGAAGGCCTAAGGTCGCAAAGTCTTAATTCTTATCATCCGAAGATAAGAGCTCATAAATGAAGATTGTATATACAAGATTTGATTTAGCATTTTTCTTAATTCATATATGCGAGCACAAACATAAGATGTTAATAAGAAAAAAATCGATGGCAATTAAAATTAAAGAACAACGGCTTCGTGAAGATGATGATGGACAAGTGAATCACATCATATCCACTATCACCAAACATATTCAATCATAGGTTTTTTCATCCTTTTACTTACCCGATCGAGTGCCTCGTCCAGCAGAATCTGCAAGCATTAACATATATGTATGTGTTAGTTTATGTATTGCAGGGAATACCAATATCAGAAAAGAAAGTGCAGACAATCAACATGATGATAATATGACCTGTTCACAGTTTATTACGTTTGTGTTCTCTATCTCCATGTTACAAACCTAAGCTCCTTCCAAGCCAAAGGGATTCCGTTAAAACGTAGTAATGTGGCCTTAACAGTGATCCTGAACGAGTTGCAGATTGAAAGAGGGGACTAACAATTCAAACGCGTTTGCGTGTTAGTGTACTAGGGTGTTTTGTTTCATCAAATTCTTGAGGAAGAAACTCATGTATTTCATCACCTTTTGACAAAAGAGGGCACTGAACTAAAAAACTCATGTATCTCTTTCTTTATTCGAAGTCTTCATTTGCCAAAGGCTATATGGCAATAAAATAACTATTTTTCAGGTTTCCTCAACTACAGGTTAACGCGTTTTCTTACTTTCAATTCATCACTCCTCACATTGACGGGGTCACAGGAGGTGGCACTGTCTTTTTCTCTACAACATTGGTTTCACATTTCTGGTTTTTGCAAAGACTAGAGCTAATATGCCTATGTTTTGTTGATCCAGCTCGAAATTCTGACATTTCTCAGACTTCACATATCTACAATAAGCTCTTCATTTCTTACACTTTGATGGCTGAAGAAACTTCAACCCTGGATCTACGAATGGCAGCAGCTCGGGAGAGATTATCATGGGTATGTCCGCTTTTCACATCCATTCAAACTGTTATCATTTATCCTATTGAATCGCTTAAACACTAACTTCTCTTCTTCTTCTTAGATGGAATCATTCAAATTAAAAACACGTGTTGAGGAACAAGAGAACGAGTATACTGATGAAGCTAGTCTCAAACGAATTTCCAGTAGGGATAGCATAAAGAAGAAAACCTTTTGCCAAGTGATTAAGTTCTTGGGTAAACGAGTTTATAACCCGTTGTATATGGCAGGAGCAGCTCATACGCATTTCAGAATGGTATGTTATGTTATTCACATCAAATCCATTCTGACTGTTGTTATATTTTTCTGTGTTTCTCTTACTTATTGTTCTTACAATTTCTTCGTCTTCATCTGTTGTTCACTTTTTCTGTCCCCAAATTCTCGATTCTAGTGTTTTTCTGTTTCTTAAAAAAATATGTTTTGATGTTATGGTTACAACATGTTAGTGTTCTGGTCTGATTCGCGGACTTACATTGTAATTATGATATGAACTGTTGTTTAAGGATTCAGTTGAAAGTATATACGTGTTTTATCACTTTTTTTTTTTTTTTGTTCTGCTTCTTGTCATCATTATCATGTTTATTGAAGCACTAACAACTTGCTGGTCTTCTTCCTCTGAAGAAACCCATTATTAAAGCACTACTGGATCTGCCTATTAAGAAAGTAAACATCGAGTATAGTGATATAATAAGAGTTGAAGGAGTGGCCAATCGAAAAGAGAGGAAGGAGAAAATCCTTATGGGTGATGAGTTTTCAAGCTTTGGAATGAAGGAATTGGGGAAAAAGTCTAATTCTTATGCAGATGTTATGCGGAGAGCTACTAGAAAAAACAAGGGGAACGTCCCACTATCTGTGAAGCAAACGAACACAACAGGAAACAAGTTCTTCCAGGATAACGATGAATCATATGATGATATTATTTTATACGCTAAGGGAGCGTTGGACTGGGATGGCAAAATGCCTTCACAACTGCAAGACAAGTTCACCTTAAACAAGTATGGGGCAATGGACGTGGGAAATGAGGGTTGTTCCATAGCAGCCCAAGATGACAATGGTAACACTTTGTACACTAAGATATCATTGGAATCAAATGACAAAATGACTTCACAGCTGGAAGAGAAGTCCAGAGGTGGTAATCTAAACGCAAGGAAGGACAAGGGAATGCAAGGGGAAAAGGAGGAGGAAGGAAAACGCAAGGAAAGTGTGCGACGTGTTTCATCTTCTGTGATTGCAACCCTTGTGCTTCTTTGGATTCTCTTCGACATATGCACCCGCTCACCAATTGCTCAGCATCAGCCATTGCACGGACATAGCCCTGTTTTCATTAATTGGTCCTCTTTGGTTGAACTATTCGGTTTTATTGTGTTTATTTGGGCTATTGTTGCTACCATTGTTGTTGGCGCACCATTCTCTCTCATGCAGAGTGGCATGATTATGTTTTGGGCCATTTGGATGCTTGTGAGATCTGCTAAATCAATGGCTGAAGTGTATGTTCAAATGTGGGGAATCGTGCTGATGGGATGGTATATGCTCATGGAAAATCAGCCACCTAGTAACAAAGAACCTGAGCTACCAACTTAAACTAATGTGGGTTATAACTCACCAATCATCTCTCTATATAAATCTATCATCTGTATTTGTGTTTGTTTTGTATAATTTGTTGTCTACCATGCACACTACTTGGGTGCAGGGTGTGATGTATTGTTGATGGAATTACCTATTCTACAGTTCTACTTATTGGCTATCAAATAAGAACAGAGGGTCTAGATCGGGCCTCTTGTCATGCTTTTAACAGTTTCCTAATCTGCTCATTTCTACTATACTTTGTCAGTTTATGTTTTAACCAAGTGTATCTTTTAATTGCCTCCACACATGCATCAAAGTCTTCAAAGATGAAACAAATTAAAGTGTACTTCATTTCGGTCATGTTTTTATTCTAGTCAATACAGAATTTTCTTTTTACTCTGAATCAAACACTTACCTATTAATTGAGTAAGGTAGGTTTTATTTGCCACATGCTCTGTTCATAACTCTGTCAACTACGCTTGAAGGACTTTATTATTTGATCAATCATGCTAAACTTTGTTGATTAATAGATATTTCTTGTTATAGAAGATAAAATAAAAGTATCACACACAAAAAATTAACAATTTCTTATATAAAATCAACAATTTTTATCATAATGAACTTAAAGAAAAAATTAATACAACTGAAGTTTCCCTTGCTTTTAATTTTATTTTTTTTACTCTTTGAAATATGTGAGTATTGTACTTCCCCACTCTTAACTCATGTTTGGCAAAGGCTGCAATTTTTTTTAGTAGACTTCAATTTTAAAGATATCGTAAACAATTTAGTATTTCTTCCAAAAAGAAAACATGTCAACAAGTTACAAGATCAGATAGCCTTACATTCGAATTCTTGATTCCTATAGAATATTTTTATATAAAAAAAGTAATATGTATAATTTTATATACTTTTTCTTCTTTTTTTCATTTAATACTTATATATCTACATGGAAATATAATACTAAAAATAATTGAAGAAAGAAAATCATAAAGAAGGCATTTAAAATGGAATTCAATATTGGACACAGTTCATGAACACACGTACACATTGTGTCTAAATTATTAACCCACTAGGGATCTGCAGGGATATGGAGTATGTTTGACATCCTAATCAACTAGGAATCATGTAGTGGGAATTTTATGAACAGAAACACTCTAAGGTACACTGAATCTGCAGTCACCACAATATATCTAACAGCTTAGAGCTATTAGTCCATTCCACTCTCTGACAAAGTATCCAAACTAGACTCCATTTCTTTCACTGTATCGCTGCATAAGATAAATCATTAGCAGTGTGAAGAAAACAAAAGTGAGAGAGAGTGCAAGAGCCCCCCATACTGTAAACCAGATGAGAGGAACCTTGAAGGAATACCAACTCACACCAACCCCTGATGCCATGTTCACCAGTCCTGGAATATAATAGCATGGTGCAGCAACCAACATAAGCACGACGGAAACCTGCAAAACAGGATGCAGAGGCCAAACCAGCCACAAAACCAGCAAATAGCACTGTAGGATGGTCATCATGTCTATGGTTAGTGGAAAGAACTCAGTGAATGCTTCCTCCAAGCTCAGCACCGACTTGAAGGAGTCTCCCAATTTGAGCACAAATTGAGAAGCAAATGTTTGTGCTCGATATCTGATGACACTAGGACCCAATATGAACAAAGCGCAGTGATAATGAGAAGGAATATCGAATACACTGTACAGAAGGCAACTTATGAATCCCTTAAACCCAAAGCGATTTTTCTTGGCTTGGGTATTTGAGGACTTTCTGGAGGTAACGGGAAGAACATCTTTTCGTGTGCTTACCTGACAAAACCAACAAATCCAAAATTTATAGATGTAGTTCAAGGTAGGAGATATTGCTGCAAACAATGGTGTATTTTAAGATGAGAACATGTTAGGAACTAGATTAACAGAACTCACAATTATGTATGTATTAGAAATCTAAATTAAAATAAAAAATTGAGAGATGAGAAACAAAATTAATAATACACAATAATAAAAAAGAAATTATAATATCCTCCTTAAATATAAAGAAAAATAATAATACTATTTTCTCAAAATTAATAAAATTTAATTATTATACAATGTATTAATAAAAAGAAGAAAAAAAATTAAATAATTTATAAAAAAGGCATTTTGTTAAAACACCTATATATAATTGTAACCGTCCTTCTCCTCTCACAAACCAAATTTCTTACTGGTACAAAACATATATACTTTTTACATTGCTTCACTTTACTATGCTATTATTATTAATGTAGAAGTTTTAAAAAACTTTACCTCTTGTAATTAATACTTAAATTTATCTTATTGAAAATATTTGCAAACCGTTTACAAAACTAATTTTTATTAAATAAGTAATTTTCCACATTTTTAATATTATTTTTTAAAGTATTATTTTTACTATATTAATTTTATATATAAAAAGAGAAATCGATCATCGATTCAGTTATTATTAGTAACTCGAATTTTTCGATCACTACTTTTGATCACTATTAACCATTTTTCTAGTAGTGACCGAATCAATGATCGATCGATTTCCGTGATCGAAATTTTAATCACTAAATATAAAACGGAAATCAGTCATTGATTCAACTACTATCGATGATCGAATTTTTCGGTTACTTAATTTCGATCACTATTAACCATTTTTCTAGTAGTGATAGAAAAATAATATATCAGATTTAAATATTTTATTTTGTAAATTGATTTAGCTAAAAGTGAATAATTAGTTAAAATAGTTCTGGACAATTTAAATTTAAAATTTTAAAGTTATATATTTTAATTCTTTTATGTATTTTTTAAAAATTTAAAATAATTTTCCATACTATTTTTTTATTTATTTGTTAACATATTTTTCTATTGAGAGGGATAATTAATTTAAAAAAAATTACTAAACAATTTTCTACTTTATTTTTGAAACTCTGGTTTTTAGATAAATATACTAGGGCCATGGTTGTCTTCCTCAGTTACAAACAACCATAAAAATCACATTAAATACTAACAATTAAAGGAATGTTATAAAAAAATAATAAAAAGAAATAAATGAGAAGAAAACGAGTTTTTTGAAATTTATAAGGAAATATTTAATAAATCAATTATGAATTACTAAATATGCATTATATTATATTTTTAAAATTAAAAAATAACTCATATAATAACGTAATTAACTCTAACTGTATCATTTGTTTCTTTGTTATATGGATGAAAAAACAGATGAAAGATTATAACTATGAGTCCATATGGAATCAAGCAATTTGAAGTTTTATTCTATCCAAACGAAGAGTTTTTTCTTGGGAGGTTTGTATGCGCTTTTGGTATTCAAAGCCTAATTATTTTGTTTGGTTAAATTTACAATTACCACCAATAGAGTGTATAGAAAAGGGAGAACGAATAACCTTCCTCTTCACTGCTTCAAGTATTGCTTTCTGTCCTTTCTTGGGAAGCTTAAACCATAAATGGAGTTTAGCTTCGATCTTTTCCTTTGTATCATTTCCATCCACTTCATCTGATTTTCGGAACAGCTGTTTGCAAACGTAAAACATATCTTAGCTCGATACTTTCTTCTACTTTCAACTCAACAACGACTATGATGATAGATTCTTTTAACTACGGTACACAAGTCAAACTATGATTTATCCTTTTCCATATATAGCTCAGAAAAAATGCTTCATATCGAGTAATGAGAACTCTGCTCGCTTGCCTATATATGCATGCATCTGATTTCGGAGTTTATGCATAAATTTCCAGAAGATATACAAACTCTTCAAATAACAACACATCTTATCCAAAGATAAGAACATATAAATGTTCAAAAGAAAGTAATCTATAGAATATGTAATTTTAGAGAATTAGTGATCCCATACTCATTGACAATTGTCTATTCATGCTTCGTGAATCGTGTATATATTCTAATGCAATATCATCTGGGGGGGTCTCCATGACTGTAGAGGAACATGGTGACTGAGCCACATTCATGATTGTAGAAGAACAGATGTAGTAAGATGGTAAAACAAAAACAATATCAGAAAATAAAGAACAAACAAACAACATTACACTGCGTATTACGATTGTGCTGTTCTTTCCCTCTGTGAGGCTCTCCATCATCACCTTCACGTTGCAGATAAACTCCTCCCAAAACCAAAGGGGGACTGAAGTAAAATTTCTAGTATGACTAAACACTGATACTAAATGAAATGCAGATTTGTCTGTAGCGATAGAGTCAAGGAAATTCCATCCTTCATTATTCACGCCTGTGTTTTGTTTACAAGAACAAGGGCACTGAAATAAACAAAGAAGTTGATTATAAAACACTATAATTCTTCTCTTGCAAAACAGTATTCAAATCCCAACCTATATGAATTAATCTTCTCTTATGTTTAATCGAACCCTTTGTTTGCCAAAAGCTATATCAATAAAATAACTTTACCCTTATCTTTCATGACACTTGCGTTGAAATTTCCCTGAAGTGCATGCAGGTTTACGCGTTTTCTTTCTTTGAACTCATCGTTCATGATCCTTTGCGGAGGGCACAAGGAGGTACTGTCATTTTCTTTTTCTCAAACTTTGGTTCCACATTGTGTGAACTAAAACTACTCTAACTATGCTTGTGTTTTGTTGATCCAGCTCAACTTGAAGACATTTCTCAAACTTCACATTCCTGCAATCACCTCTTCCATGTCTTCCACTTTGATGGAATTACCTTGGCTGGAAATGTTTACAGATATAGTTTCGAGCAGAGTTTCATGTGGACAGGTTTATAAATTAATTTGAAATTTCACATCCATTCTAGCTCTTATTATTTTTTCTGTTTTCCTCATACTAATAATCATTCTCATTCCATCCCAATCCTCGATTCTAGTCGTTTCCTATTTTACATAAAAACAGATTAATGTTTTGGATAAAAAATGTTGTTTAAGGATGCTGAAAGAGTATTAACTACCACTTTTTCTTCTCATGTCTTGGACGAGTTTTGGTTAAAATACTTTATTCTGTAAAAGCTACTAAAGCACCAACATCTTATTCTTCTTGTGCCCCAGGAAATAGTTGATGAATTTTGTTTCACTGAGTTCTTCAATTCAGATATACAAGACATGTCTGAGCTACAATATTTCTTGGTAAGTACTAAACAGTTTTTGTTTTGTGAATTACTCGTGTCCTAGTACTTCAGAATTATGTAAATTATTTCTATTTTTATAAATTAATTCAAAATATTTATTAATAGAGAATTAAATTGAAACAGTAATAATAATTATACCTACAAAATTTTGCTTTTAATTTTTTTTATTTCATTATTGATTATGTTTTATGAGCAATGGCTTCTCTTTTATGTTTCTCTCCCTTGTTCATATTAACTTCTTAAGAAAAGATGATAATAGGTTAGTATATTAGAAATTAGAAGCTTATTGTTGAATTAAACACTTATATAAAAGCACAATCTTACCATGGATTATTCCCCAATTCTTAATTAAGTGTTTGAATTCTTAATTGCAACCATAACCTTGTTAATTTTGATTTTCTTTTTCAAATAATTCTTCATTTTTTATTGAGTTTTTTTCAAATAAAATAATTTTTATCTTAAAAAAAAATACTATTGAACAATAATAGAGAAGTTTAAAAATATTTTAGCTCTTGTAATCAATACTTAATTTATCCTATTAAAAATATTTGCAACCATTTTTTAAAACTAATTTTTAATTTTTTTTCAAGTATTCATCACATTACGGGTAGAACTTGTAATTTATTTTGTTAATTATTTTATTTAATATATAATTAAATTGGAATTCTTAATTAGAATAATATATTTAAAATTTATTTTCTTTATTGGATTCTTTATTAGATTATGTGTAGTATATTGGGATTATTAAATTCTGTTTAAATAAATTATTTGTATCGAAAATATAATATAACAGTTTTAAATATGTTATCTTTTAAAATTGATTTAGTTAATGTAATAAAATATATGTCCATGTTAAAATAATTTTGGACAATTTACACTAAAAAAGTTTAAAGATATATATTGTAATACTTTATGTATTTTTTAACATCAAAATAAATTTGCCATACTATTTTCTTTTTGTCAACATCAAAAAATCCAAACCATTTTCTATTTCATTTTAAAAACTATTATTTTGAACTTTAAAATTCATACTAATCATTCTCATTGCATCCCAATTTCTCGAGTCCAGTCTTTTCTTTTTCACATAAAAACAAATTAATGTTTTGGATACAAATTAATTACAACTTCTTCCTCTCTCACGCCTAAGACGACTTTAGTTAAATTATGAGTTTGTTTTTTTTTTCTTTTTTTTTTAATTTTTGGTGCTTGGTATTTATTGAGGAGTTAATTATAAATAAAAAAATCATGATGATTATATGAGAGTAGTGGGAGTTACTTAAACAGTTGTTTACAATAAAAACATTATTTTAATGTAGATCACCATTATAGAATTACTTAAAATAAATAAAAAATATTCATGTAATTTATTTTTATATTTTTTAAATAATTCTTGAAATCCATATTTAAATAATTTTTTTATTGATAAAAAAAAAAAACCACATTCTTAACTACCAATAACATCATCATTTTCTTCTTTTGTGCTTCAGAAGGAAGATGTTGAAAATTTTTTCAGCGCGGAATTGTCGATTCCAGAGGTGGATTTCTCGATTCCAAAGCTGGATTTCTTCCCTGCCTCTGTCCGGGTAAGTTTTTTTTTTTTCTGTTTATAATGTTTTATGAGCAAATTTTTTTTTTTATGTAAGTATCTTTCTTTTCCATATAAACTTCTTAAGAAGGGATAATAATGGGATAGATTTTCATTTATACAAATGCAAACTAAAATTAATAACAACCTAAATATAACATAAAATATAAGTATGATTATGTTTTTCTTTAGCACATATATATAAAATCATACTTTGTATTGTCTAAGAAATGTTAAATATTGTAAAAGTGAAATATTGTAATGTTCCAATAAAATATTTATACTCAGTATGATCCTTATAAAAAATGTCATTACAAGTACGAAGTTTGAATTTTGTGTCAATTGGTATATCACAAGTTTTGCAATTCGTCATCCCTACTTTTTCAAGAATTTATCCTGCATGTTTTTCTATGAGAGAAACATATTGGTTGCATGATGGGTAATTACAATCCACAAAATATATAACTAAATGAATTAAAATCCTTTATAGTGAACTCTATACTCAAGAATGACATAATGAATTTTCTAAGAGAATTAAAGGAAACTACCAGAATAATATCATCAAAATAGAATATATGTAATATCAGACTTCTTATGATATATGAATAAAGAGTAATCAGATTTACTATGTTTGAAACTGATTGTGGTCATATAATTTGCAAGTCATTGGTACTAGGCACGAGGGACTTGCTTTAGGTCATAAAGGGACTTCTTTAACAAGCAAAGATAATCACGATGAGAGAAATCCTTCAAACTTATGGGTTGATGCATATAAATGGTTTCATTTAGATTACCATGTAAAAATGCATTTTTGATGTCCGACTGATGAATGAGTCATGATTTGAACAAAATAATGGTTAAAATCGTTCGAATGGCCGTTAGTTTCACTACCGGACTGAATGTTTCATCACAATTATTCCTTTCTTTTGTGACTTACCATCACCTACAAGATGAGTTGTATACTTCTCAAAAGAACCGTCAAAGTTGTGTTTATATTTAAAAATCTGCATAGACCAAATTATATTTACATCAAGGAGACGAGTTACCAATTCTCATGTCTTATTTTGAATTAGAGCATTATATTTATCAATCATGACATGTTTCCAGTTTGAGTCATGAAGAGCACTTACTAGGATAATTAGAAGATTTACAAGTTTACGAATTTGCCTGTTTTCCACTATGTGTAGAGAGTAAACACTAAACCCAAACACTTGAGAAAATGAGTTAAACAGTTCCTGTGAGGTTACCAAAAAAAGCACAAGTGGAACCTGTCATCTTCTTGGAAGTAGCCTAATTTCATGGCAAAACAAAAAGCAAGCATGTGTTATTCTATCTACAGCAGAGACAAAATATATTGTTGTTGGAAGTTGTTGTGCCCAATCTTTATGGCTCAAGCAACAACTTGATTATGGTTTGATTCTTAATAAAATTCCTCTTTTGTGTGATAATACTAGTGTTATCATCTTAATTAAGAATCTAATGCAATATTCTAGAACTAAACACATTGAGATTAGGGATCATGGTTCAAAATGAGATTGTGAAATCTTTTTCATAGAAACTGACATGCATGGACTTAACTAATTAATTTATCATGCAATTTCAAGTGTTTGAAGCCAATAAAAGAAAACTTCAACAAGAGATACTAGACATATAACTCAAAAGCAAAGGTTAGGTACATTTAGAAAGACAATAAACTTAGAAAAAAAATATAACTTAATTCAACTCCTCCTCCCTCCAAAATTCTTAAAAATTTAGGAAGTTCTTAATATGTTGTATGAGTAATCATAGAATTTTGTTTACTTCAAATTAAAACTGAGTGATCCACCAGAGAAGCACCTCTAAACTCATCTTTTGCATTTTTTAATTTTTCCTATTTCTGATACTTCTTCTACCCCTTCTTCATGCATTTTCCATTTTTTCTTTTTTCTCTACTTCTTCCACTGAGGTGAATGTTTATCTTAAGTGTGGGGGAGGGGGAGAATGCATAACATTTTTTTTTTTAGTTTTTCTCAACATTTTATTTTGCATTTTCTGTATTTTGTTCTTACTTTAGTTGTTTGTTTAGAAAACATTCTGTCAGAATTTTAACTAATATATCTTCAAATCAATCGATTAAAATCATTTAAGAAGTTTTAGAAAACTTACTGCCAGAATTTTAATCGATATAACTTTGAAATAATTGATTAAAAACACTTAAATAATTTTTGTATCACAGCTTTTAATCGATTAAATGTTTTTATCAATTAAAACATCTCAAGAAAAATTAGTAGAACCTTTTAATTGATTAAAAGGAATTTTCATCAGTTAAATTATTTAAGATAATTTGTTTTAATCGGTTAAAATGCGAATTAATTGATTAATCACATTAGTTAGTTAGAAAAATCTCTATATAAACAAATTTTCTTCAACGTTACAAAATAAAAAAACGCGTCTTTCTCATTAGAATTTTTTAACAATCTTTCTTAAGGCTCTTTGTTCTTGTTTTTTCACGAAACTCATTCTGTGGTTGGATCTTTGTATTTGCATACTGATTTAATTGTTGTAGTTTCTTCTAGTTTCTTAATTCTCATTCGGTTTATTGTATTTTCGATGTATGGAATTGTGGGCACTAGTTTAAGCAGTTGGAATTCCCCTCCTGCTACTGAAGTACCCCAAGCGGCTGACACAAAGTATATGTCTGCAGAATTTCAGAATATGGAGATTATCCCATGCTATGCATAACCAGAAGTTTAGTCGATTAAAATACTTATAGAAGATTTCCTAAAACTTCTTAAATGATTTTAACTGATAAAAACTTGGTTTAATCGATTAAAACATTTAAACAAAAATTCTTTAGGTGTTTTAATCGATTAATTCAAAGTTACATAGATTAAAATACTGACATAACATTTTCTAAAACTTTCCTAAGTATTTTTAATCGATTAATTCGAAAATATATCAGTTAAAATACTGGAAGAAGGCTTTTCAAAACTTCTTTACTGAAAATAATCGATTAATTCGAATAGGTATCGATTAAAACAGTGACAGTATAAACACACATTTTCAGAATTCTTTGTTGAGACATTTTTTGTTCTTGCTTGTGAAAAAACTCATTATGTAGTTGGAATTCTGCATCTACATAACCGGTTTGATTGTTCTAGTTTTTTCTCCACACCCTTAGAGGCATTTTCTGTTAGCTAGGATGAATTTACCATATTTGGGTCATGGGGGCTCTTAACCTTTAGGTTTAGGTTAAATTTATGTCTCCTTTTATAATTACATTTAGGTCCCTCTCCCAAAAGCTTATAACTAGGCGTGTTTGTCTGTGTGCTTATCTTGGTGCCAATCTTGGTGCTTAATTGATCCCTCGGTGAACGTTGGTGCTTGTGTTGACGCATGTTGTTGCTTGTCTTGGTACCTATTCCGAGGAACGACAGTATTTGCCTTGATGCAAGTTGGTACTTGTCTTGGTGCCTGTCCTGGTGCATGTTTGTTTTAGTCTTAGTCACGTTGGCTATTGTCTTTATGAACGTTGGTGCTTGTCTTGATGCCTAGTTGTGCTTGTCTTTGTGTTTATCTTGGTGATATCCATCATTTATTCATCTTCATCAATCTCCTCCTATTTGATGAAGACAAAAGCCTTTTGAATCCTGTAGAGAAGTCACTAGATGTTTTGTGTTAGTCAAAATTTAGTGAGTTTATTCAAATATTTCTCCCCTTTTGACTTCATCAAAAATGGAGTAAAGAGTAGTCAACAAAGCATGCATATTATAGGTAAGGTTTAGTGTATCCTAGTAAGAAGCCAGTAATTAATATTTTAGACCTAGCTCAAGAACTTATTGGAAACCGAATGTCAAACATAAGCTAATTAGATGGATGTTATTGCTGCAAAAATTTGACCTAGAGATATAGGACAGGGGCGATTGTTTTAACCAAGTTGTTGATCACCTGAACCGCATTGTCCACCCATTAGATCATGTTCCTATTGCAGAAAAATTCCCTGATGAGTATTTATATTCTGTAGCGATCAATTAAGCACCAACGAGCACCAAGATAGACACCAAGATAAGCACAAAGTCAAGCATGACTAGGCACCAAGAAAAGCACCATCATGCATAAAGACAAGAGCCAATATGACCAAGACTAGAACAAGCGTGCACAGGATAGATACTGGGACAGGGACAAAGTCAAGCATCAAGATAAGGACCACACTAGAATGACTTAAAGGTGCATGAAAATTGTCACTCATTTTTTATCAAGAAAGATTTTCACAATGATTTGAAAAATTGTTTTTCACAAAAAAATGAAGTAACAAAGGTTTTCGCAAAAGAAGTTTTTCAAGTGTATGTGTGACGATCGCCTAAGATCAAAGGAAGGTGAACTAGTCATTAAAGACTCACCTAGATTTTGTCACGGAAAAATTAAATTTTACTTGTAAAAATTTACACAAAATAAACTAGACAGAAATGTAAAGGAGAAACTGAAGTGGTGGTCAAAACACTGAAATTATGAAAATATTTTGAGTTTGGTTTAATTATGTCATATTGACCACAAGTGGTCATGAGGTCTGGGATTGATTATTGGGGGCTTACGGGTTGAGTTTTGAGAAGAGGGAGTAGTATTTTGTGAGGTTGAGAGCTGATTGGTGTGAGGTGATATGGTTGATTGAGGAGAGAGTGACATTGGTTGAAAACTTGGACCTATATGTATAGAGGAAGGGAGAGTTGTGTTATTTGATTTGGTGGTACATAAGTTCGTAAGTGATGGATTAGGTGTGGAGATGTGTCTTCACTTAAGAGTCATACTCTCTTAAAGATGGATCATGTATTTTTAAGAAAGAAAATTATGTCTCATAAAAAAATTACATGACATGAAATAATTATTTTTCTGCTTGAAATATCATAACACTTGTAACCTCGATGATTTGATGGGTTACCTAGAAAAACAAGTAGGGTTTAATATGGTTTGCAACTTATTAATTGTAGTGTTTAGAAAGAAGGGATAACAAAGACAACCAAATACAAGAATATGAGAAAATAATATTTATTAAAACTTAATCTAGATTTCGTATTTTTTTAACTTTAATATATAATTAAATTGGAATTCTATTAGAATAATATATTTGAAATTTATTTTCTTTATTGGATTCTTTATTAGATTATGTTTAATATATTGGAATTACTAAATTCTATTTAAATAAATTATTTGTATCGAAAATATAATATAACAGTTTTAAATATATTATCTTTTAAAATTGATATAGCTAATGTAATAAAATATATGTCAATGTTAAAATAATTTTGGACAATTTACACAAAGTATATATATATATATATATATATATATATATATATATATATATATATATATATATATATTATTTTTTTTGTAATACTTTATGTATTTTTTAACATCAAAATAAATTTTCCATACTATTTTCTTTTTGTCAACATCAAAAAATCCAAACCATTTTCTATTTCATTTTAAAAACTATTATTTTGAACTTTAAAATTCATACTAATCATTCTCATTGCATCCCAATTTCTCGAGTCCAGTCTTTTCTTTTTCACATAAAAACAAATTAATGTTTTGGATACAAATTAATTACAACTTCTTCCTCTCTCACGCCTAAGACGGACTTTCGTTAAATTATGAGTTTGGCTTTTTCTTTTTCTTTCTTTTTATTTTTATTTTTGGTGCTTGGTATTTATTGAGTTAATTATAAATCAAAAATCATGATGATTATACGAGAGTAGTGGGAGTTATTTTATTGTAGATCACCATTATAGAATTACTTAAAATAAATAAAAAATATTCATGTTATTTATTTTTATATTTTTTAAATAATTCTTGAAATCCATATTAAAATAAATTTTTTATTGATAAAAAAAAAAAAAAAAAAAAACACATTCTTAAGCACCAATAACATCATTTTCTTCTTTTGTGCCTCAGCAGGAAGATGTTGAAAAAATTTCCATCGAGGATTTCTCGATTCCAGAGCTGGATTTGTACGCTGCCTCTCTCTTGGTAAGTTTTTTTTTTTTTTCGCTGTTTATCATGTTTTATGAGCAATTGCTTTTTCTTTTATGTAGGTATCTTTCTTGTCCATATAAACTTCTTAAGAAAAGAAGGGATAATAATAGGATAGTATATTAGAAAGTAGAAGCTTATTATTGATAAAATTAACACTTATATAAAAGCAAAATCTTACCATGGATTATAATTTTATATAAACTTCTTCCGCTTGATCTTGATCGCAAAAGTTCTTCCGGCATCGTTGCTAGTTAGTTTCTTTTGCTTTTGTTTTTAACATTCTCTCTGATCATTCTTCTGATTTTGTATATGCTGCAGAATTATCATCCTCTTGTAATGATTAGTAGCAAGTTCACTGGTTGTAATGAAAACAAGCATGAAGAAGTGGATAATCTCTTCCATACACTCAATGATTTAGTTATATCGAACCTGAAAGAATCGGTTTGTTACGTTATTCACATCCATTGTAGCCTCTTCTTTTTTTTTTCCCTCATTCCTCTTAATTATTATTCTTATCACTTCTTATGTTATTCAATGAAGTTAACTTTTCTTTTGTAGTCTGAGAAATGTAGGACCGAAATGTCAACAGAATTAGTGCATTTCATCAGGAAAACTCGGTCCATGAATTTGCTGGATGAAAGTATGAAGGAAACTGGAAAGAAATTTGGGCTTAGTTGGCAAGATAGGGTGAAGTTGGCACTCTCCAAAGATGCTTGTGATTATGATAAATACAAGGTAAGTTGGTAAAATTATTGTGATGCATAATAACATATATTGTTAAATAACCCTGTGCACCGCAACCAAATTCAATAGTATCAGGTTTTCTTACAAGTCTTGTAATAATAGTGCAAGTGTCTGGCAACAACAAAAAATGCAAGTGTCAAAATATGTACCAACACACTCCAGTAGAAGTCTTGTAATACCAGTGTAATAAGAGACTGTGTCAACCCTGCATATCAGTATGACTCTAAATTATTGTGGTGGTTGTTGATGATGCGGTCATTGAAGTTGTAAACATTATAGCTGTTGCGATGATATTGAGATTGTTTGTGGCATAAAATCATTATAAGTATGTACCGAATGGAAGAATTGTTCAATACTTTATCCTTTATCATTTATTCATCAGTGCATTATCCATTCTCCTACCATACTATCATGAAGTGCCTGTGCCTTCCACACTCATCTAACATTCTACACACCCATTCCGCTATTGAAACATAAAAGTCAGAAAAAAGAAAATATTGAAAAATTTGAGTATTTGATTATTTTGACAAAAGAGCCTAGGTAAAGTTGCAGATCAATGACAGTTATATTAAGGCCACAATTTATGTTAGGGACTCAGTGGCGGATCTTCTTAGGAGTTAAGGGGGCCGTTGGCCCCTCCAAAGTTTTGTAACTTGGCCCTCCCCAAACATAATGAACATTTAATATATTTACTTGTATATTTACAATTTTATCCTCTCATCCCCTCCTCAGCTTTGTAACTCGCATATAATTTATGATTTTGTTCACCTCAAACTTAATAATCATTTAATATATTTAAGTATATATCTACAATTTTATCTTTTCACCGTTTTATCTTTTTTCTTCCTTTTATATTTATTAATAATATATTATTTAGCCCCCAATATGAATGGTCAAGATCCGCTACTGGGGACTCCAATAATAAACCATGCTAGAAAGTTTTGTAACAATGATGTAAAAAGTGAACAATTATGTACTTGCATGAATCAGTTGTCCATACCCAGACTATTTTTCTGTGAGTATTTACTCTGTTGTTTTCTTTCTGGTTTATGTCATAATGAATTAATCCATATGATATATATGTCTTGACTCCATTAAAAAATTGTTGTTGAGCTTATGCTGTTTTCATGATCACTTCATGTTCTTTCGTAAATTACATTGATTTAATATTTTGAAAGGATTTTACTTTACTCACTTGCTTTTGACATATTGAGGGTTTTGTTTTTTGTTTACTCATCTTTTTCTCACTTTTCTTCTGACTTTCTATATGCTGCAGAAATATGGAGATGTAGCACCTTATGGAAAGGAAAATTTGTTCGAATCATTCTCTGCTGCTTACAGGTCAGTTCCATGTGCTTACATCTGCAAGAGAAGACCATTCATAACAGGTATGTGGAACCTTTCAGTAGAAGAGGTATCACTTAACGTAGACTGGGATGGAAAAACGGCTTCAAAACTGCAAGACATGTTCAATGGTTGTAATCTAAACAAGTATGAGAAATTATACGAACCCTTCAGTCCTGACAAAGCACTCAAGAAAACCGTGCAACATGTTTTATCTTTTGTGATAGCGACCACTGTATTTCTTTGGATTATCATGAACACATGCAGCAAGTTATCAATTCTCCAACCAAAACATGGCCCCCTTTTCATTTGGTCCTCTTTGGTCGAGCCCTTCTGTTTTATGGTGTTTGTTTGGGTAATTGCTGCAACGATTGTAGTTGGTGCACAATTCTCTCACATGCAGAGTGCCATGCTTATGTTTTGGGCCATTTTGATGGTGCTGAAATCTGCTAAATCAATCACTGAAGTGTGCCTTCCGATATTTGGAATCCTTTTGACGGGATTGTATGTGCTAATGGAAAAGCAGCCACCCCACGAAGGTTGATGAAATGAACAAAGAAACTATGATGCCATATCAACCACTGTATAAGTGTAACTTCCAATATTAGTAATACAAATAAATCTCTCGACTGTGTGTTATTGTTTACTGGTTGCTGTTGAGGGTGCTCAAATTCCCCGAACCAGAAAAAAAGTGCACTTAGAACATTGTGTTTTCTGTTGTATTTTGAGTTTGTACTTGGTCCTCTGCAACGCTACTTTCTTTGCGTGCTGCTAGCTACCGATTCTACAGTTGTATTGAGTGGTATTTTTACTGCATGACATCCATAATATTACATAAAAGTATGTTTTTATTTATATTTAGCTGACAGATAAATTTATATAAATACATATAGAAGTTAATTATAATTCAATTGACTAATTTTTGTTACTGTAAAATTGTATTTTTTTTTTATCGACTGGAGGAGAAAAAATTTTAAATAATTTCCCTATAAATAATAAAGAAGTTTGGAAAGAGACCATGTTTCCAAACATAATGCAAACAAAAAAAAAAGCAAAACACATGTTGCAATAAGTTGAGAGCAGCATTGAGGGTTGAGAAAAAATAATATGTGGAAAAAGATGTCAAGCAATGGACATATATGACTCTCCAATTTTCTTTTCTTTTTTTATCAAATTGATTTGGTTTTGAAGAAAAAAAAACTGAGAAACTTTATCACAAAAAAAAATTGATTTGTTTGAATTTTGGTAAACTTGATTCAATCATACTTGTAAATTCTCTAATATGTTATGGAAAAATAATTTAAAATAATATTAGTATGATAATCCATCTATACTCTTTTAAAAATATAATCATATTCAAAACATTAAACTTTAAATTCGACATAAATTACGATGTTAAGCTAAATAATATTATCTTCATAAATTTAAAGTTGAAAAGAAATACTCAATTTGTAATAAGAAATTTAAAATTATAAAATTCTAACAAGAATTTTAAAAAAAACTTAATCCTAAAATTTTAATTTCTGAGTGAAAATAGTGAATTTGTAAATTCTTTATCCCGCTCTGTTTTCTTCATTCTTTTTTAAATCTATTTTTAATAATCACTTTTTTTAATGATAATATCTTAATAATGTCAATTCATAAAAAAATCATATTTAATAAACAACTTTTTTATTTTAAAATTTCAATTAATATTACATTTAGTTAAGGTAATAATTGAGGATATAATTATTATGAAAAAGCTTAAATATATAGTAGTACATTTTATAAAATGTAATATTTAATTATATTATTGAGTATATATATATATATATATATATATATATATATATATATTTTAATAGATTAACATTATTATTTTTTTCAATATTATTAGAATAAAATAGAAAAATAATATGTACATCAAATGAAAAAAATCCAATTATACATTATTACATAACACTATTTTAAACAACAATTACGTTTTGTTAATAGTATAAATCATATGAAATGGAACATATTGAATTAACATTTCCATATTTTAAAATAAAATTAATATTGTAAATTTAATAAATGTAATATTTAATGAAATTATTAAGAAAAACTTTATCTTATACATTAATACATATACATGTGTATAATATTAAATGTAATAAATATTATAGTTAATATAAACATAATATTGGTAAATGTTATTATATGTAAGTATATAATGTTCCATATGAAAAAGGTAATTGATAAAATGCAAGAAAAGTGTTTTTATGGTTATATATATTTATATTAAATACTACACTATTTTGAAACACTATTGTATATAATTTTGTAATAGTTAGTTTTTTAATGATATAATTTTATAATGAATAGATTGATATGAAAAGTCATAAATTGAATAATAAATATGATAACTAGTAGCATTAAATATTACATTTAAAGTATTTTTATCAATCTGTTCAAATTAATGACTGAATGCAACTTAAGTATCGGTGATTTAAGATATATCAGTAGAAGATCTCAGAAGAATTATTTAATGGATTTAATCTATAAAAGATTAGATACAAAGCCAGGCTTTGTCCTTATTATATTTGGACTTTTGGATTATTTAATTTCTTTAGTAGGAAATGTCCTAACAATGGTGCTGAGTTAGACATAGTTGTACTGAATTGGACATCAAGCATAAGGATAAGGTCAGAAAAAAATTATACTATCCCTCTGTTTTCTAGCACCATGGATACCCATAAAGGTCTTACAAAGAGTTCATGTCACCATTTTCTATTTGCAGTTACAGCTAATTGTTCCAGCAAGGTTATCTCATTTCTACCCTAAATCCACCTCATTCTAGCTGTAATTTTAAGGTGCCCAGTTGTTGCTATGCTTTGTAGTTGCATAAGGAATGTTCCTTAATTCAACAATCAAGTTTAGGGAATGTGATTTTAAGATACCCTATTCTTCCTATGTAAAATGTTTGCATTGAATATTAGGTGGAAATTGAGAATGTTCATTAATCCATCATGTTTATGTAATGGAAAATAATTATTAAATCAATTTCATTAGCATTAATGTAGTGTTTGGTTTAAGTAATCTATTATTAATGAGGTATGGTTTTAGAGTATTCAAGTAGATTGTATGTGTGTTAGTTTCGATGATTTGTGGAAGAAGTTTTGAAGGAAAAAATTAGGTTGAGAAATGAGGAGAGAAAGAACAATATTATAATAATTAGAGTTAATTTTTTTTTTTTTTTTTGTCTCTACACATATAATAAACGCGTTAGTTATATTATGATAATGTCTCATGTAACATCTGGTGTCAATCATTTACAGCTAAGAGAGTATGTAACTCCATTAGTTCTTCTTCTATATGATTTGGATAAAATTGATCAAATTTTCCATGACAGCAAGCAGAACATTGAGTTGAGGTATCCATTTCAAAAAATTGAAGAGGTTGGATCCCTTTGGAAGGCTAACAAATTAGTGACCATTCCCTGTTATATATATATATGGTTAAGATGAGAAATTGATTTGAGTCACATGAAGGTATGTTGAATACAAGCACCACCTTTCTCTCTGCTGTCATTTTATAGGGTATGTGCAGAGAAGAAGGAACAAAAGCAGCATATACTAATGCCATGGACCAACACAGCAAATCCATGTTATGTCACCCCACTTGTTCAGAATCAAAACACATGCAAAGGTCGCCTAAAACGTGGGACCCTTGGAATACCGTCGCAAATTCCCACATGTAATCACATGATGAGTATGGAATGCCCAAACCATTGTCACAGTTAAATCACCAAGCACAAAAGAAACACCACAGTTCCTTTGCAGCAAAGAGACACCACCAATCCACAATAAACACCACCCTCTTTCCCTCTTTTGCAAGTCAAGTTTTGAAACAAAGATGAGGAAAAACTAGAATCATTACCCAACTCAAACCCCCAAAACTTTTTAAGCTGAAAAGGACACAAGCCACCACAAATGCCAACTTACACATACATAATTTAAATTACAAAGGGGCATTTTGGCCAAAAAAGTACCTATCCTTAACAAACAACCTCTTTCACTACTTTAACATAAACCTTCTGCTATATATACTCTCACTCTCTGACATCAATTCCAAACACTTCATCACCTACAATTGATTCCATGGCAGAGCTTGAGAGTCCTACTGTTATGCCTAAGCTGATATGTTTTCTCTCTTCTCTGCTCAAAAGGGTCGCTGAATCTAATGATCTTAACCAGAAACAACTCCTACACCAAAAGATCTCAGTTTTCCATGGCTTGACTCGACCCACCATCTCAATTCAAAGCTACCTTGAGCGAATTTTCAAGTATGCCAACTGCAGTCCATCATGCTTCATTGTTGCGTATGTCTATCTTGATCGCTTCACTCAAAGGCAACCCTCCTTGCCTATCAACTCCTTCAATGTGCATCGGTTACTCATCACCAGCGTTATGGTGGCTGCAAAATTCATGGATGACCTGTAAGTATCTCAGTAAAATCAAAACACTGTTAGATTTTCTTTACTTTTTAAAATCTAATACCCTTGAAGACTATGATAATCAATGCTGATTTGTCAAGTTCAGTCCTCTCTGAAATTTCTTTGAGATATTCCTTGGATGAGGTGAAGCTAATTGACATGGAAGAGCAAATTTCAGACAATTCTGGGGGTTCTTGAATTTCCTAGTTACAAATTGTTGTGATTATATACACGTAAACCAACCAACATGGTGGGGTATGATTAACCGTTAATCATGTAATTTACATAGTGGTGATTTGTGAATGAAATAAGTTATATCATTTGTGGAAGAGGTCAGATCCTTTCAACCAAATCAGAGGGAAAGCAAGAGAATTGCTCTGCCATTCCTGTGTTCGGAGATTGATGTCTCTCCATGTTGATTGTGAAATATTTCATTTCTGGGAGAAAAACAAATTAAAATCTCTAAGAAACCCAGATCTTGCATGTTCGCTTTTCCCTGTTAAATTTCTTGGTTTTCATTTTCTACCACAATAATTATCTGGTACATAGTTTTAAATTGAAAACGACCATGCTTCTTAAAAGAATATAGTCTTGCTTGTGAATAATACTATGTCCAGGCTGGCTTTACCTTGGAAAGAGACAACCCACCCATGTGACCCCACCACTTTACTGCATGTACGCAGCAGCTAACTTTTAAAGACCATCATGAACTTCCTGAAAAACAATGTCTCCATACAAATCTATGGTCGAATTTAGCACAAGACATAAAAGGAAATATCAAACTCTTAATGATTATTGACTTGCTTGTTTCATTTCAAAAAATTTACATGTTATTCAGCAAATTCCTCACTCCTTCACTTTTCTGTCCCTCTTGAAATCCTTAGGTACTACAACAATGCTTACTATGCAAAAGTTGGAGGAATCACCACAGTAGAGATGAACTTTCTTGAGGTGGACTTCTTATTTGGTTTGGGTTTCCATTTAAATGTAACCCCTGGCACCTTCCAAGCCTACTGTGCACACCTCCAAAGAGAAATGCTGCTGATGCAACCACTGACCTTTGCAGATTCTTCCCTAAGTTTAGGAAAATCACTAAAGGCACATTTATGCTTCAATGAGGATGAATCTTCTTCCCATCAAAAGCAACAACAATTAGCTGTTTGATTTTCTTGCATTTTCTCAATGCATGTAATCATCAGTACTCTAGCTGTAGATGTAGTAAACCTATTATAGATTTGCAAATTAAATCATTTTGCTCGTGCACTCTTCTTACTTCTTTGTGTCTCTAATTAGTTTATCTTCTCTATTTCTGAATTCTGGTTAATTAATTATTTGGTACAGTACAGAGTTACAGATAATTGTCTCTTCTTTACAGTCTGGCTAGATAAGTCTGGTATTTTAGTTCTACTAATATAATAATTTATGGTTTCTTTGTATGGTTGAGACCGATTCTCGTCCACCTTTGGATCCTATCAGCAATTTGCAAACTGTATTGTCACTTAAACAAAGGGAAAACTTTTAACAACATTTTGGACAAAAAAATGTGTGGTGACTGGTGAGTACATGACCATTTTGGCCATTAGAAGACAAACGAATGATGTGCACAGTTCAATAGATAGGTACTATTTTAATGTAACTCTGTGCTAGTCTACACGGAATAGGGTCCAGGGATCAATTAGAGATTCAACATGTTACTGGAATGGAAAAAGACTGGTGAAACCTTGATCCTCATAGACATGAAAAAAACAATATACAAAATACTATATACTAAATAGATGTTTATATATTTTAGCTTTTATATGCCCAAGTGGGAATACGAATTACTAGGACTTTTTAGAATATTCAAGATTATCTTGGGATTATACTAGATGATATGATTGTGACTTGACACATTGGAGTAACTTACATACACATTTAGAAGAATTTTTATAAATTTTTTATCAGAAAAACATTAACTTCCAGTAGAAAATTTCTCAGAAGTGTCTTTTACTCTGTCTCTACACAAATTGTATGAATTGCTAATCTACTGATACATGTACATGCTGACTTGGGTGTTGGAAAGTCTTTCATACTATGGTAGCTATACATTAATTAGAAGCAAAATCACCGACATTCCATTCAACATCCAACAGATAGTGTGTGCTAATTGACAGTTGGGCTTGATCTTCGGAAGTGAAGAAACATGTGCAATAAAGGACAACCAGAATTAGTTGGTTGTATGTATATAGAAAGAGACAGAGAGACAGAGAAAGAGAGTGGTGCTACCACCAACTGGAAAACTTGACTTCTTGGTACAAGTCTTCCTCTCTTTTTTCTGCATGTTACAATTTTTAGTTATTACAGTCTGGATCATGCCAAATATGATCAAGAACAGTATGAAATATCAAATTTTGATTGAATTATATGTAGAAAATAACAAAGTACTTGTTTAGTTTAAAATGACAACGTTTGTAGCATTTTCTTACGTGAATTGATGTAGTTTTTCAATTTTACAATGAGTGTTCAAATTAACATGAATCACATATTTATACTCGAACATGTTTTCTTTAAAAAATAAGTTGAAGTAACTCTAGTTGGCAACACAGTATTCGCTTTTCTGTTCAACTAGTACTTTATTTGAGATAATTAACATAAATTATGAATATAAGTCACATGTTCTATCCTCTTCTTATAATCAATTTCTATATTGTACTGTGGTTATTATGTCTACCAATCTGATCCAAATTAAAATGCACCTTATCACTCATCAGTTTCTTATCTCCTTCCAGAGTAGTTGGTACTTGCTGGATCTGCAAGCCATAGATTAAAGAACATAATCTTGTTGAAGTGAATAAGAAAATACAGGAGAAAAATAAGTACAGCGAATTAATAAATTAAGAAGTGAAAATGTGTAATTAATTATTGATAACATTTCTGTCATATTTCACTAGAATAAATTGGTATAATTGTAGAGATATGTTATCTTCGAACTCTGTAGGAGGCCATGAAGATGATTAAATAATATCTCTTCGCAAGTGCCGCGGTCGTATAAGTACTAGTTGTTTCTGACAAGAAAGAATACGACCATAAATTTTAGGTAAATTGTTTTGGTAGAATACTACCATTAAAGAAAATGATGAAACCAACCTCTTAATTACGATAATTTTTATAAGTTGTATTAAAAATAAATTCAAAATTAAAAATGTATTTATTATTTAAATTCATTTTTGTAAGTTTAAAAAATTAAAAAAAATTGTTTGATAATTATTTTGTTAAAACGATTTTTAAAAATTATTCTTATTGTTTTAATTATTAATTTTTAAAATTAAAAAACAAAACAGATAAAAGATTTTTTTTCACTAAAGAGTATCAATATTAAATCACTTATTTTTATTATCATAAAATTATTAAACAAAAATTAATTTTTGTTACTATTTTTATAATCATCTATATTATTCCTTTTTATTCAAAATAATTAAAAAAAATTAACAAACATTTTTTTTACATATTTTTAAAAATATTTTTTTCAAATTTAATTCATTTTAATTACTGTTTTTTGAAATAATTATCTGTTTTTTAGTTTCTAAAAATTAAAAAATTTGGTTGATAATTATTTTTATTAACATTAAAAGTAAAAAATTAAAAAAATGTTATTAGGTATTAATATTGTCACTAATAATTAATATTTTTATCATGTTATTGAAATATTTTGAAAATTTTATAATAAATTTTCATATCATTTAAAATGATTTTTAAAAATAGGGTGATCAAATAATTTTTTTTAATTTATTATTTTTAAAATATTTTTTAATTTATCTCTAAAACTATTTTTTAAAACTATAAAACAAAACTGAATGAAAAACTATTGATTTTACAATGATTTTTAAAAATAGGGTGATCAAATAATTTTTTTTTAATTAATTTTTTTTAAAATATTTTTTAATTTATCTCTAAAACTATTTTTAAAAACTATAAAACAAAACTGAATGAAAAACTATTGATTTTACAACTGTTTTTTTTTTTAATATCCCTTTTGTTCGACAATGATTGAGAGGGTTAAGAGTCAATTATAAAAATTAAAATTAATATATATATATATATATATATATATATTTGAAAATAATTATCATTTATTTTGTCTAAAAATATAAAAGATAAATTATTTTAATAAAAAAGTTTTGATATTTTATAATAAGTTATTTTTATATAATTTAAAAAAAATACTCATTTTTGTTCAACTCTTTGTTTACAATGAACTTATTTGAATATGATAATTCATCATGTGTGATCGGATTATTAAGATTAAATTTAATCTTTTACATCCTAATATATTTAAATATTTTTAACGTTTTATGTTTATTTGACTTGAACCAATTAAACCTATTTGATATAATTTAACTTTGACATGACTCATTTTAACTTTGTTTACCCCAACTTTACTAATCCCATCAACTTGACCTGGTCTTCCTAATCAAATCTAATTTATTATAATTAAGTAAGACTTTACTAACTTAATTTATCCTTTCATCTTACTTGATCCCATTAACTACCACATTTCTCCACTAATTGATTGGTAACTCCATATAAATATACATTTATATTAATCAGATGTAAGTGAATAAACATTGTGAGTTTGCTAAATTAATAAGTTGACTGATGTTAGTTTTTCTCAATCATTAAATTTCTTTATTTTAAATAATTAATAAAATTAAGTTGTTTTATTTAAATAAAATATTTAATATAAATTTATTTAAAATAAAAATAAATTAAATTTAATGTATTTAAATTTTCAAAAAATTACTTAGATTCACTGTCTATACACATATTATATTGTATTTATTAACAAAGAAAAATAGAGGGGGTGAAGAAAAAGGAAGCATAGGAAGAAAAGAAAGCAAAGAGAATATAAGTGGTAGGAGAAAATTTGGTGATAGTTATAGTTAAATGATTATGTGGTAAGAGAATAACATTTTTAAGAATGTTATATGTATCTAAATAAAGAGAAAATTTTCACTACTACAAATAAGGTTTTCTACGTTAGTTATGAAAGGTCTTAAACGTCGATTATATAAGGTCACGTTCAAATAAAGTTAAAATCAGACTTTCAACGTCGGTTCTATTTAATCGACGTTGAAAGTATTTTCTACGTCGATTGATTAAAAATTAATGTAGAAAGTGTCTAACATTCAACTTTTAATGTCATTTTTTAACCAACGTTGAAAGTGTATTTAATGTCGACTTAGCTTTAAAGTATTGATTAAGTTTATTTCATCTTCAATTTATTCCTTCTGTTATTATTTTTTTCAATGATTGCTTAATGTTAGAGGCTTAGGTTATGGATTTTATGATGGTAATTTTTTGTGTTTACAAAAAAAAATTAAAAAAAGGTAATAATTGATATGCAAAATTGTTATAATTTTAAACTCAAAAACATAATGACCAGTTATCAATGTTAAATTAAGTATTTTGAACCAAAGCTTTAATATTTAAGATCAAATAAATGTTTTCTAACATCTACCTCTCATTTAATATTTTTACATCGTACAATTGAAAAAGAAAATGTTCCTCCTTCTAAAAAGAAAAAAATATTCCAAATTTTGTTCAGAAACGGTGTCGTATTACTGGTTAGTCGGTTTAGACGTTTAAAACCCTAAGCCACTGTCCGTAAGGGAAGCCACCGCGGCATTCTTCACCGCCACCACCCCTGTTCCAGCTAAAATTCCCCATTCTTCTTTCTCTCTCCCGTTCCCTCTCTTTCTCTATCTCTCTGATACAAAGATAGTAAAAAAAAAAAAAAATACAGCAATAAACTCAGCGGCATAACGGTGTAACAAATCCAATAAGCAAAACCACGAAGAAACAATGGCTGGTGGTCGATTTCGCGAGTTGATGAAGAAATACGGAAAAGTGGCCATCGGCGTTCACTTGGGCGTTTCCACGGTTTCCATTACGGGTATTTACGTCGCCATAAAAAACAACGTCGACGTCGAAGCCATCCTCGAGAAGTTCCACATGGGCGCCGTATCCGACCAACAAAACCCTAACCCTACCGATGACGACACTTCACCGCCATCCAAGAACCGAACGGCGCAGCTCGTCACCTCTGCCGGCGGGGCCTTCACGCTTGCGATCCTCTGCAATAAGGCGCTGTTCCCTGTGCGCGTTCCCATTACCGTCGCGCTCACTCCCCCGATCGCGAGGTTTCTGGCACGGAGGAACATCATCAAGAGCGGGTTGTAATTTGGATTCGGTGGTACGTGTTGTATACCTTGTTGGGTTTTGTGAGACCTGAGAGTGGAATAACAAGAGGGTTTTTAATTTGTTAAGAACGAGTTTTTCTGCTTAATAAAGGTCCTGGTATATGCTTAGTTTCATTTCTTGGTTGAAGTAATACAGTGGACAAAAATTACATGCAATTCTATAAGGTCATTTTCATATTGTTCTTTCATCAGAATTGGAGTTGTAGTTGGAAAGAAATACACACAAACTATTATTAGTGTGTTAATTTTGAGTGATGGATTTGTGTGTTCTTCTCTTCAACTTAACTCACCCTGTACTAGAGAGGATACACTCTCCTTATATCGATCTTTTATGCAAACTTTTATGATGCAAATTATCAATGTAAAATTTCATTGAAGTTAGAGGTTATTCATTTGAATTTTAATTGTTTGCAATGTTGAGTTTTTATATATTGTAACAATGAGAAGGATGAGACATGTAACTTGTGTCATGTTCATGGTTTAGAAGTAAAATTGGAATATGAAAGAAAATTTCGAGTTGATGAAGTTGCTTTTTGACTTAACAATTCTTGCACATTGTTTCAGGTAAATAGATAGGAAAGAAATAGAAAATAACGAAATTGGATAGAAATGACAAATTATTGTATGGGCTTCTAGGTTTCTTTGTGATGAAAGCTGAATATTTTTAGACTGACGTAGTGATTTTTTATCCCAATAATGTAGATGGTGTTTTTCTTTCCCTTATTTGATACTTGATAGTTTAGTGGATATAATTATAGATAAAGAGATAAAGATTATTTGATTGCTACTTGTATAACCCCATAAGTAATGTATTTTGAGTTTAATTTTGGCCCGAGATGGTCCATATTCATCTAAGGATGCTACTGTGGAATTAGAAATGAGTAGTTCTTGCACTCTTAGTATGATGGACTTGGAGATATCCTGGGACGCTCACTAACTCGTTCTATGCCCTTTATATTGAATTAATGAAGTCTGAATGGTTGCATAATTATCTGTGCCTGACAAGAACTAGAATTCGTCTGGTCCTTTACTTCCTAACTGATATATCCAACCCTTGAGTGAATTCAGCATCCAATCTTTGGGTGAATGTGGAGTTTATCAGTGTGGCCTTTAGGAAACAGTAATATTATATTATATGCTTACTTCACTCTATCTACGTTAAATTGTGCTGGTATACAGTAAAATGTTCTTCTTGTCCTGCATAGAATAATAGTATTATATCATATGCTTATTTCTTGAAACCTTGTCATGGTTTATTTGAAGGTATATTTATGGTGCGGTTGTTCCTTGTAGTGAAAACTTAAGTATGATGGTATGCTATTTGAGATGCTCTGGGTCACTGGGTTATTGGTTACACGACATATTTTGGTACAGGAAAAGCTATTTTGCCAAATCTCTGAACAGTTTCTCAGTTTGCAACTCAGAAGTGCCAATTGTTTAACTCCCTTGGGCAGATAATCTTTTAGTAACATGTGAAATTAGGACTTCCGTAGTTATACTTTTGGGGAAAAATGACTCAGCTACTCAAGAGTCAGGGAAAGAATGACTTAGTTGATTTTTTTTATTTTTTATTTTATTTTGTGTTGTTTCTTGAGTCTATGCATTCAGGGGGAAAATGAATTAGCTACTCTGATTCATTCTAATGTAAAACTATGTATTCTCATCTAAGTAGGGTTGTTAATATGACACAAATGAGATTTTAGTGGGTTTGAAGGAGTTTTAGAATTAAAATAACATTGTGAATACCTCAGTCTTCTCTCGGTTCTTTCTATCTCAAGTGCAAGACTATGATTAATTTACTATTTTAATTGAAATTTCTACCTTCTTTTTTATACATGTTTAAACTATTTAAAACAAAATTTTAACATTTATTCTATCTACTTTTCTCGTTCTCTTTTTCTCCTATCTATTTCTTTCTCTCTCTATATAGAGAAAAGTCCATATTTCAAAAAAATAACTAAGGTTTAATGGATAAAAATGTATAGGTTAACATGATTCAATCAGGGATTTTTATGGGGCTGAAATATCTTTAGTGTGAACTGATTAAAAAGCTAAATTACATTGGCAAGTGTTTTTTAGTCGTATGAAATCATATGATATCAATTACCATAAGAAACTATCTATTCAAATTGAAGTTTCAATGAAAAAACAAAAGGATACCACAAGACTGTGAATAAATTGGAATTATCAAATCAAGATAATGAAATATTTAAACACCTTATATTTTTATTTGCTTAAATTTGTCCACTGTATATAATAAATTGCATTTTCCTTTTCCCACTTTTGATTGGATCATGTTTAAGAAATTAGGAGTAATGCATTGTGAGGATGAGTTTAAATTATTTTTAATTGTTTTAATCCAATCCAAGGAATTACTAATTAAAAATATAGTTTTTTTTAACACGAGTATAAATAGTACAATTTCTTAATGTAATAAACAAGTTTTGTCTTATTATATATTTTTGTTGTATTTGTTTATAATTTAATTATATATTAAACCAATATTATACCAATAAGTTTAATTAATAATTTTGAATGATATTCAGAAAGAGAATTTATGTATAATGAACAATCTTAAATGATTGAACTATCTAAAATTTGAAGTGAATTCATTTAAAACTAATCCCACAATCTACCCAAATTATTCGGGAGCGGAATAGCAAGAATTACACGTATTTCAGATACCAAAATTTTAACTGTTCTTTTTTTACAGTCTTTTATACAATTTAACCTTCACTCGTAATATTTTGACAACTGTTTTTATAGTTTATTTTGATACATGTGATTTTAGTATGCATGCTTTTATTTATAATATTCATTTTTTATTATAAATATATTTTAGTATATGTATTCATATAGTATTCATTGAATATATTTTAGTACATGTTAATAAATTTATATTTGACACTTCGTGTAAACCTTAGGTATAGGCTATAATGGTGCACAATATTTGTAGCTGAATCTCATCTAAAATTATGTGTTGGTAGAGTTCAAATAGGTCTATAGCTACAGATGTTATATTTATTGCAACACTTTTTTGTCCATAACTAAAAGTTATATTTCTTGCAGTAATACTGCATTGAATAAAAAATAATCGAAAGTTCAATTTCTATTTCTGCGTATTCCTGTCTTATGACATTAGTGTGAAATGTAAAATTACGTAATTATATAATTTCATATGAAAATATAATTACAATTTAACAAATTATGTATCTGGTATTCTGTATTTCAAGACATTTGGTAAAGTTCCAAACTTAAAAACATTTAATAACAAAGTGTAAAATGATGTGCGTAATTTTAATTGGAGTAGACCCGTGCACCATAACACTGCCTACTGCGTTACAAGCCTTTTCCTTCGGTCCATAGATTCGGTGGGTGCGGGTGCAGCGAAACCCAGGTAGATCCTGATCGGCGTTGACACACCGCCGAAGAACATCATGATCGTCTGCGTCGCGGTCGTTGGTCACCAGGTGAGTCTCCTTCACCTTTCCGTTCCCGATTTCTATGTCGCTGGCGAAAATCCCCGTTATCCAATCGACGATCTCAACTTCAACTGTTCTTTCCTGTGAAATCGCGCAGAACAATCCTCTGTTCATTCAGAGTTTCACGGAAGCCGATGATGCTCTCAAGCTCCACCACATCGTCCATTGCTCGCTCGATGTGGTCGACGAGCGAGGTTCGTTTAATTTACTATGACTGTGGATCCCTAGGTTTTTATTTGAGATTTCCTATAGTATATCTGCAATTTTTGGTTTTTATGCAAATGGTTGTGGTTATGGGATCCTTAAATCTGTTAGAGTGAAACTCCGAATCTGATGTAATGTGTTGTTTACTTGGCAGTGAACAATCCTAAAAAGTCTGGGCCGATGCTCAATGAGACGTTTCTTGGACTGCTTTATCCTATTGAAAATTACAAAGTGTGAGTGCAGTTGTTTTGTGTTGGAGAAGTTTTGTTTGATTTATGTTTAATCCAACAAATGAAAAGTTTGTGGGTTTGCCTGTGATGTGATTTGCAGCTATGGATATCTGACAAATACGAAGGTGAAATTTATCTTGGTGACCACTGATCTGGATGTTAAAGATGCGGATGTAAGGAATGTGAGTATGGATAGTAATTGTTTTCTTTCATTTTGTCAGTGTAATTTCTGTTGTCTTAGTGGGAATGGATAATTCGTGATGTAATAATTCTCTTAGCAATGATATTTTGAATATATTGAAGTAAATATTGATAGTTGGTACTAGTGCTACTTTAATCGCAAGATTGTGGTATTAAGATATTGGATATCTTGTCTGTCATGTAATTTGACTATTGATACCAATTACCTTTTATGAATTGGAGCACGTATCAATTGTGACAAAGGAAATACTGATATTTTTTAACCATGTTTAAAATGTGTAGTTGTTTTTGCCATTTTACCTATTATATGTAGAATCTGGTCTTGTTCGGCACATTTATTAAAGTGGGTGTTACAAGAAATAGATAGTGTGCAGTGGATTATTAACCCGTAATAGTGATGAGGGAAAATGCAAGGAGAGAGAGAGAGAGAGAGAGAGAGAGAGAGAGTACTGTAGTTATCTTAATTGTAACCAGTAAACCTGTTCGGCTGCACCCATGGCAGGTTAGTGGGATTAGGAAGATAAGAGAGGGAATCAGGTCGAATATAGAAGGAGACTGGGAAATAGTAGAGGTAATATATATACTCTGTTTTTTCTTTCACTATTTGTACAACACTACCCAAGCTATGTGAATGTATTTAAATTCAGTCATGAGAGCGATACTGGCATATATCATATTGAATGATTCAGTGTTTTGAGAGGAGAGCTAGCATGTTTTGTTGTAGGTTCATTTTCATGTCTTCCCTTGGATGCACTCCACATCTTCTAGGGATTTCATTTTAAACATATAAATCCAAAGGGATCGGTACACTCTTTTGCTGATGGATTTTCCTTCCTTTGTTCTCTTCGTCATCCTTCTGTTTAGTAATATTTTTGTTTTATGAAAGTTAGAAAGCTTGAATTACTCGTTTTAATGGTTGATAGGAATGTGATATTTTCGTGATTCCCAGCTGCCATTTGATTCATTATGAAATAGTTTTTTTTTTTTTTAATGACTTTGGTTGTATACATTGAAGATCCCCTATATCGCTATATGGTTACTACCTTCAATAAGTTGCTTAAAATTTCGCAATCTTCAGTGCCACAATGTTATGTACCTCTGTTCATTTGCATTTTCTTGTCAATTGCCTACAGATGGGTGGGTAAGATTTATAGTTGTAGGAAATAGGAATACACGTACTTAGCTACTTTCTTTTCACCGTGACGTCACTTCAGAAATATGAGTCCTATATAAGAAATATTGTACTATTTGATGCTATTTTCTCCTTGTTAACTTGTGATGGATTGTATTTCTGTACATCTGTACAGTTTTTTAGGAGGTTCCATGCGGCATATGTAGATGCAGTCTCAAACCCATTCCATGTGCCTGGCAAAAAGATAACCTCCAGAACATTTGCAGAAAGAGTGAGCACAATTGTCAAGTCATTTGGCTTCAGTTCTGCTGGGTGAACACTTTCAACTGATGCTAGTATGATGCTTTTGTTTATATCTGGCACAAAACTTTTCTTTTTTATGCTAAGCTCATGCCTTGTAGTTTTAGCATTGGTGAAATGATTAGGAGTTAGGAACATTTTCAACAGAATTCTAAGTTCAATATGATATTCAAATTGAACCATCACATTTGATTAAACATAGATTTGAGTTTTAATATTTATTCATATAATTGAACGTAAATTTGTTATTGACCCTCTACACAGTATTTGATGAGTATTATGCAATTTTCTACTAATTTCCTGAACAGTGTTATGAATAACAAATATCTTTCATGTAATAAATACGCCATTGTGACTTATGGCACTGCCATGAAAACACTTTCATCAAGAAAAAATCATCTCTAAATATTTAAAGGCATCATTTTCAATCCATCTCTGAAGATTCATATTTTTCTCTAACATTTAATAAAAAAGCAATCTTTTTTACTAATTTTGTCTAAATCAAACTCCTTTTTCCGTGAGATTGAGATAGTCTTTAAATATAAAATTATCTCTATTTTCATTTTTATTAAAGCAAAAAATATTTTAACTCTCAAATGTATAAATACATTTTTTTTTCTAACAATTAATGTCACCCGTGCAGATACCAATAAAAAATTATTTTTAATAGATGTTCCAAAAGTTGTTGGATCTTTGTTTGTGTCATCCATTTTTATTATCAGTCAATAAATTAACTTGCTTTTAGAAAATACATTGCGATTCTCGACATTCTTTCATTCTTTGATGTTTTTAATTTTTAAATCTTATAAAAAAAGTGGGACACGATAACTTTTAAAAATATCATTCGTCGCCTCCTATATACATAGTGACTGAAATTTTGATCGTTGAAGAGTTGAGCTGTTGATATTCAATGGTTAGAGTCTAACAAACATTTTCTTCCTAAACTATTCAAGCATATATTTTTTTCCATTATAGGAGCAGAGTGGGGCACCATTCAAATTGTTACACTCTTCTCATTTCAATATATACTAAAAAAAATATCTAAGTACTATACTTTTTCACGTATAGTAAGGGACAATAGATGTGCTCCACTAAAAAATATTGTACTTCCCAAACATAATTGAAAAAAAAGAAAATGTCGCATGCACAATGATCTTGTACTTTTTCAATCATAATGAAGACTACAAAAACGTATATCTTTGAATAAGTTGTTGGTGTTTTAGTGTTTTTCTTTTTTTGTTTCTGTAATATTCTTTTGGAAACATTGTTGTAATGGTTGTGGGTGCAATCTGAAAAAAAAAAAAAAAAAAAAAAAGTGTTGCGCAGAGAGTAATAATATAGTTTATATGTTGCGTTTACATGTGCTGGTAGAGATCAAAATAAACCAAGTTTGTGTTATGTCTGAGTAAACTATATATAAAAGAATGAAAGTTGGATATAACCTTCAAATTTATTTTTAACTTTATACGATCACACCTTTTTCACTTAGAAACAGCTTTTAAGAATATTAAATTTAGTTTTCTAACAGAAAAGTTAGATCAAACCTTGTCCAAGTCAAGTTCAAAGACAAACAGTGTAAAAAGTTGAGTATACTAGTGTTCATTATGAAAAAGAAGAATGAATAAACTATGAATTAGTGATTCATTTGTGTTAGAATAATGCATGACTGAGAAAACATTTAAGTCTCTATGAATTGTGTAACCTTATAATAATGAAAAGAAGAAGAAGAAGATAAGTGAATGTGTGACTATTAAAATTAAGGTTTAAATATTTCTTTATGTCTATAAATACCACATTTTCCTTTTATTTTTTTTAGTACATGAAATTATCATTCATTATAACATGATATTAATATGGTCGTGATATAATTTTCTATTAATATTAATACACAATGACATTGTCAATAAATTAATTTTATTGAAACAAAAGCTTGGTGTCAGAAACTAAAAATAAGGTGTTTGAATTTACAGGGGTAATTGTATTTTTTTAGAGACGAAAAAAAACACTTAGAAATTAAGTCAAATGCTAAAATATACAATATACATTTAAAATTACTTAAATAAAGCAAGAAAATAAATTTTGTTTATTTTTCTATTATTTTAATTGTATATTTTTAATCCACCCTTTGATTCACCATCTAATATTTAAAACAGTATTGTCATGACAATCTATTAATTCTCACATTAATACATGCAAGTTGACACAACATTCCATTACACTGTCCACATTATATATCAAATTAAGATAAATAAACAATATACCATTAAAATAATAGAGATTAATTTTATTTTATTCTTAACTGTGAGATCAAATTTGCAAATGAGTAATAATAAAAAAAAATGTCCTTGTTTTTTAGATATTAGTAAAATTCATATATTTAAAATTATTATCTGTCTCGCTGACAATAATTGTTATTTCCAGGATGGTTCGTGAATTTGTTTGGCCCATCTTTTAGATCTGTCACGTACACACACATCAACCATCTCTCTCTCTCTTCCTCTTCATCCTCAGATCAAACGCACACAGTTACCCTCTTCAAATCAATCTCTTTTCAGGTTTTTCTCACTCTCTTCGTTCCTTCAATTCTCTCTCTTTTTTTTTTTTTTTTTCTCCACACTCTAATCACCGAATCAATAATCACTCGATAGCTTTTTTTCTTAAGCTTTTCCTCTTGCTGTGCCTCAAATTCCCACTCGCTGTTTTCACGTTTTGACTCTTTGTAACGGTTCCTGCTTCCGGTTCCAGAAATGGGTGTCGCTCAAAACGTTCATGATGCGGAGGAGGGAACCTTGGAGATTGGAATGGGTCAGTGTCGTTTCTATGTATCTATTTTGCGTTACTTTTGCTATTTTGATTTTGTGGATGTATTCAACAATGGTTGGTAAATCAACAAACCGCTATGTTTTGTCATTATGAAAAAACGGAAAGACATTTTTTGAAGGGGCGTTTGGATTGGATTGATCAGTTTTTTAAAATTGTTAACGTTGTGAATTGTTTGTTTGTGCTGCAGAATACAGAACTGTGTCCGGAGTTGCTGGGCCATTGGTCATTCTTGATAAAGTTAAGGTAATGGCCACAGTGTAATACTGTATTTTCCATGCCTTCTTATTGCTTATTCTAGAATTTTGAACTTTTGTCCACCAAGATATCCATTTTTTATTTTTTTATATTGTTACTGAATTTTGTACTGATCGACTGCATCAGGGACCTAAATTTCAAGAGATTGTTAACATTCGCTTAGGGGATGGAACTACTCGGCGTGGACAAGTGCTTGAAGTTGATGGTGAAAAAGCTGTTGTTCAGGTGAGTGTCTGCTTCCCTATTTGCTATCTGTAATGTCCCTAACAATCTGTTCTGCTTCTTTCGAGACTGGTGAGTTGCATAAATCAATTTTCACGAGAAGATATTCACCCTATCTTTGATATCATGATTTCTTTATAATTTTAATTATTAATAAATGATCGCAATTAGTAAGAAACCCTTCATTGTTGTCTGGTTTGTTCGTGTATCTTGATTGATTTCAATGTCAAATGTTTTCTTTTGTCTATTGTTTTATTCTTAACTGATGCTATCACTTACACCAGGCTTGCTTATCTACCATTTTGTACCATTTAACAGGTCTTTGAGGGTACATCTGGGATTGACAATAAGTTTACAACTGTGCAATTTACTGGAGAGGTATACTTGTTATTTAATTATTTAGTTTAATTAAATGTAAATTTATGTTTGTGAAATGTTTTTGGAATTTTTTTGTCTATGTACCTGTTGATTCGTACTTGGTTTAGTAACTTTGTAATTCTAATTGTGTAGGACGTAGATAACTTGTCAACTGTTAGTTTGAGAAATTTATTTCGTATATGTTAATGTAGAATTGGGTAAATGTGGCTAGTCTTTTAATATGCTCTCTTCTATATTATAATAGTAAATAAAAAAGAGAAATCCTTGTATAGATTAGCAATCCCATATGCATGTATAATCTGTAGTGGAGAAAACAGTGAAGGGTGGTTTCCTTGGTATCAATATTGATGATTACATTATTTTTTTATATTATGAGTTTGTTTTTAGAAGGGTATCTTGTTATATTTACTCGTTATCCTGGGAATTGAAAAGAGCTTCCAAGAAGAAAATAGAGGAAGAATTGTGATTTGCCAAATTTGTCACATTATAAAGTTTGGCTTCTGTCTACTTTACATATTAAATTTTGTTTTAGAAAGATAATTTCCTAAATTTTATCTTTCTGTTCTGATAACTTTATCCCCTTTAACCAATTTATGGACGTTATTGATTATTGAGTCCTTTCCATTTCAATTCTTTGATTTGCTTTGAATCAGTTCAACTGTTGACTCCACTTTTCTCTATTATTGTTTTTGTTCACAGGTGTTAAAAACTCCAGTATCACTGGATATGCTTGGCCGCATATTCAATGGTTCTGGAAAGCCAATTGATAATGGTCCACCCATATTGCCTGAGGCTTACTTGGACATATCAGGTATATAATTTCTTCTGGAGAGGTCTGACTATGTATGTTTATCTCCTTTCTTGATATTTTTACTGTAATTCAGGAAGTTCCATCAACCCCAGTGAGCGAACCTATCCAGAGGAGATGATACAGACAGGAATATCTACCATTGATGTCATGAATTCTATTGCTAGAGGTCAAAAGATCCCTCTATTCTCAGCTGCTGGTCTCCCCCATAATGAAATTGCCGCACAGATATGCCGTCAGGCTGGCTTAGTCAAGAGACTGGAAAAGTCTGATAATCTTCTTGAGGTATATCCAACGTATTAAAGTGAATTTACTATGGTAAATGCTCCTGAATTATAAGTCTAGGACTTCACTCTTAGTATTATTACTTTCTTAGCTTGGCAATTTTATTGTTTGCATCATTCAGTTGCACATATGAGGATTTGAAAAGAAAGTGGACTTGTTGAGCTGACATCTTATCCTTGGCCATATTGTTTTACCTTGCACCTCCTGTTAATGCTGATTGTCCGTGCATAACTTAGTAGCAGATT